GAAATCAGAGCTGATGCCAGAGAAGGCAGAGAAACAAGCTGAACAGCAAACAGGAGGAGCAGTGAGAATTTGGCTGTGATGGGAGAAAATAGTCGGTACAATGTGATGAACACGATGATACACAAGGAAACTGAACCTTCAGCCCTTTGAGGCCTGATTGTGTGGCAGCTCCAATTTAATTTCCTGGAGCTAATTGCAATGACACAGTTTACAAGCAGCTGCTTCTCACTGTAGTTCTGTGTAGCTCCAGGAATGACTGCAAAGATACCTAAACACAACATGTCATTCAGTACAGCAGATGGTTTGTGAGACTTGGAATGGCAGGCTGAAGAGAAATAATTTAAAATCCAGAGTTGTAGTTGCTGTGAAAGCTGAAAAACATGTCAGTAAAATATTCTTGATTTACAAAGGAAAAATTACTAACATCAGGAAGAATTTTAAAGATGACAGAATTCCTCTTACTGGGAGCTCATGGAAAAAAGTAAGAGAATTCCTGCAGCAAACAAAAGAAAGAAGCTGTATCCTGAAAGCAAGGACAATTCCGACAAAGCTGAGGCGTGTCTGCAGCCTGCCTAACAACCTGGTACTCTGGCCAAATAGTAAACCAATATAGCAATGGCAGATGGGAATGCTGGGGTAGGTAGGAAGGCAAGAAGTGCTGTGGAAGCCCCAAAGATGGTGATAAATGGTGAACTGAAGACACCACAAGTCCCTAAATGCAGCTTCTGCCACCAGGCTGTTGAGGAAGTGCCAGGAGAGAAGCTTTGACTGTTGCAGTGGGGACTGCCAGCAACATCAGCTGCTGGTGCTACAGGGATATCAGAGGCGTGGACCGAGAGAGAACAGGTTACAAAACACAGATGCAGTCAAGTGGAAGTGGTGTGCTCTGTCGTGCAGGTGAAGAAGCTGGCGTCAGCCTGGAGTAAAGGGATTATGCCCAGGAAGTTGTGGCCTACAGCCTCCTGAAGAGGTATGTCATGGTCTGGCATTTCTCATCCAGCTGCAGCCCTACACACTCAAGATTGTCTTCAATTTCCACTAAAAACTGAGCACTCACAAAGATCAAGACTGCTGAAGAAGATACCTGCCCACTGGTAGGACTTCCCTTCCTCCAGTTCAGGTATCAGGCACTGGTGTATGGGACGTCCAAATTGACCCAGAGGCACAGCATCACCTTTTTTGTCTCCTGTACTTGAGGCTGGAGATGTAGTGATACCATTACCATGCCCGAGATTGGTCAGTAGCTAAGACAGACATCCTTCCATCCCAACCTCAACATCCCGGAGGGAAGATGACCGTAGTTTAAAAACAAGTTGTTATAGGATAATTTATTTATCTATTTTATTAAAGTTATCTTTTCTGTTTTTAAAAAAGAAAAGTGATTGTTATTGCACTGGAACAAAACAGAACTTCAGTGCTGGAGTGTCTCCCAGACATCCAACCTTTCCAAACGTCCCTTCTTCATAGGATTCAATGAAGTGGCACGTGTGTGACTCTTTGCCTTACTTCTCTTCTATTTGGTGCCTTGGGGAGTGAGCATATCAAACATGACAGAACTAGCACATCTCTCTTAATCTACCAGATTTATTCCATATTTAAAAAAATACAAGCCAGTATTCAAAGGCATAACTGACAGAGAGCTCTCCAGACTGGAGTGTTTATGCTTTACTAGTTGAGCCTAGTTGAGCTAAGGCACACACCCTGGTATGTAGAAGCAGTATATTTGAACAAAGAATGTAAGTACACATTTGTAATTAGCATGGAGTTGACATTTCTGGCCATAGAAGGAGCCATTGTGTCTGGAAGGTTGTGCTTTATGTGTAGCAAAACATAAAAATTTATAGCATGTCTCACAGCAGATTATTAAGAATGCACAAACCTTATTCACACAAATCAGATCAGTTACCACACTGCATCTAATGGGAAAGCTCTGTTCGATGCCACAAGCTATTATGGGCTTGAAATTCAAGTTTTTGTCATACAAGTTTTGATGGAAAGCAAAATCCTTAGCAAAGACAACATCAAAGCTGCGGGAGTCAGGTTTTAGCGTGGGTTGTCTCTGCTGTCCTGAGCATGAATGTCCCACTTTGTCTTACTTCATGGCCTGACTCAGCAGAGACCAAACTTGCCAGGACCATGGGAGAATGGGCTCTCTCCTCAAGAGGGAAGAAGCCTTCAGCTCACACCAGTTTTCCTTGTAAGGCCAAGGCAGTGGAATAAAGGTGAGTAATTGATTGATAAAGAGAAAATTCCTGCTACTAGGTCTACACAAGCATAAAACCCGGGGCTAAAATTGACGTTTTTGTTGTCCGATGATTAATCTGTGTGCAAAATGGATAAGTAATTCACATGAACTATCACAAGCAAACACCAATTTGTGTTGACCTGTCTCCTCCACATCTTGTTTCATAAGAGCGAGATGAGATTTCTTGTCCTTTCTCCCAACTGTTTCTGTCTCTCCAGCCTGTGCACTTGTAGGAATCCTGGCAAGTGGTTTGGCTCCTGTCTCACATCCCAGGGACCTGCTGCAGCTTTTTTTAGCTGCTCCTCTGCATGCAGCGTCCCTCCCATGGCCCTGGGGCTCCGCAAAGGGTGGAAGAAAAATCCTGGGAAGATACCTAGCTGCAGACCTTCACCTTCCTAGGAGGAGAGTCAGCTATTTTTGGTGACTCTACTAACATGTTTGGATTGTTGAGTCTGTTGCTGTCTTCCAGACTGCTTAATGTTTTATTTAGAACTGAGGATTTTGTAATATAGCTGTAAAGATACATCGTGTGTGTGGCCATCCACATTCAACAACTTCTGTACTTTAGTGATATAATAAATAATGCTATGAAAATGCTTGCTGATTTAGCTACTTACAAACGTGCTTTCTGAAGGAATCCATGTGATGATTGTTTTTATCAGGCCTCCAGGGTCTGCTTATATATAAAAAGTTGATTTTTATGAACTAAAAGAGGCAAAAAGACAATACACGTAATAGAGAGGGGGAAATGCACCTAACAAGGACTGCTGCTGACAGCACAGAAAAATTGGTTTCTTGACAATTTGGAATACTTTAAAATGCAATTAAAAAGTAAACTGTTTTAATGAGATACAGTAAAAGCTTACAATTTTCACTTTTTTAGCACCCAAGTGAAACACATTCTAAACCACTTAGAGCTTGTTAATGTCTTAAACAACAGCTTTAGAAGAAATTAGTCTTTTTAAATTGGAGAGGACACAGTCAAAAGATATGCAGTGTCTGGTGCTTGTAATGGGTGGTGGAGAAATCCACTGGAGTAAAATGCTGTGTAAGCAAAGTGCACATTCTGGTAAAAAGCCTTTTAAAACTGTAGATACATTTTTAAATGGATCAAATATTTACATTTTATTAATATTTTACCAAATATACAACCTTGTATTGATTAAATAGGTTAAGTTCTTAACACTGATAGATACATAAAAGAAATGCTTTTTGAAAAGTGCTGGAAATGTGATAGCTCAAATGTGTTTGTGACCTAGTGCTAGTCAATGAATTTATCTGTTCTTTGCAAGAAAACATTGTAAGTGGTAAAATTTGCATGTCTAAACATTTGTAGACGGATAAATAACTTTTAAAAGCATTGGTAAGTTATATAAGCTTCATAAACTTAGGCTGCTCAAACAACACATTGAGGATATAGGCAAGCTATCTGAAAAAAGAAGCATTTGCAGTTGTAGAACTGACAGCAGGAGTCTAAGGCCAAAGCCACCCCATGGAGAGATGCAGAAGCAGAGAAAGCCGAAAGGGCAGTCACAGTGTTGGCACTAGGTGGAGAGAAGATGCATGAACAGAACCCATGAGCAACCCTGAAAATTATTTATTTGACAGACAGTGTTTTCACAGTCTCACAGACTCGTTGAGGTTGGAAGGGACCTCTGGAAATCACCTGGTCCAACCTCTCTGCTTGAGCAGGGCCGCCAAGACCCAGTGGCCCAGGATTTGTTTTATTACATTTGCAGGCATTTAGGTTAAAATAGAGTGCTTGCCAGTAAAGTACAGGAAAAATTCATAACAAATGCTACGTAACTAGCTGCAAGCTAGAAAGTTACACATGTGTATGCCTGGGGTATATGTTTAAACTGTAGATAAATTCTGCCTGCTAATCTTTCAGTTGCCTTTTTCTTTTTTCCTTTCAGTATGGCAGTTGGCTCATGTTTGCAAGTTTGGAAACTGGCTAATAGAATATTAACAAACTTCACTGAATTTCTTAGGTCTCTGGGTGAGCTGTATGTGACAACTAAAATTTCATCATGGTTCTTGTTAAATGCTGGAAGAAGGATTTCACAACATTCTTTTGGTGCTGCCACAATGCCATGTCATTATCCATTTTGGGTTTCCTGGCAGGAAGGTGGAAGCAGCACTTACCACTGATCGGTTTTGACCTTTGGGCCGCAGGCAGGGCAAACCCGCTGTAGTATCAAAACGTGTACCTTGTGTCAAAAATATAGTGAAAACAAACACTAGCAAACAAAAATTGTATCAAAACATTTCATTTGAGCACTTCTAAAAGAAAACGTTTTGGTCTTTCATTTCATTATGACATTTCCAGCACTAAACTTTGAGTGAAGATGCTAAAACAGGCAAGCAAAAGTTTGTTTCTTCCCAAGCTTCTCTATTATGTGAGTAGGACGGCAGACAAGCATGGATGAAGCTGCTGGGACACAACGTGTGGCCAGAGTCTACTCGTTTCCAGAATACATCCTGCTCCCCTGTGTGCATCTCTTTCAGCATCAGTTACCTTCCAGACTGCTCAACTCCAAGCATTTTTGATAGAGCAAACCTGTTCTACCCCAGCCATGCAGGTTAGCAACATCCAGATTAACGTTTTTCTCAGAGAAGGAAAATGGAGACATTTGGAACATTGACTGCTTCCTCCTTGCATTGCACATCCCAGAGATCTGTACAGTCTGGAGGTGAGAGAAGGTCTTTCAAAATACTGTGGCTGTTGGCAGGTGCTGTCCTAGTGGACAGCTTTCTAAATCTCACTCTCTTCAAAGACTTCCTCGGTTGTCTCTCCGGTGGTGACTTCTCCTTCGCTGCTGTCTGACATGCTTGCCCGCAGAAGAGACGGGAGAGCATGGCCTGGCTGTGGGCTGAGGTCTATCCTCTGCTTCACTAGCACCTGCTGGAGCTGCATGCCCCAGGGCTCGCTTGCCTCCAGGCACAAGCGGTGTTTGCTGCTGAGGTGCTGGTTTTTTCGTTTCTGTGAACATTTCCTCAGGTATTTTATGTTTTCCCCAAGAAAGCAGAGTTTACAGCCAAAGGGATTTGCCAGCAGGAAGCGGGACCACTGCTTCTGGAGCTCTGCTTTCACCTGGGAAGAGAAGAAAACTGTCCATGGCAAGATCTTGTGACCACCCTGCAGTCCACTAGTTGCTTGCTGTAAAATGAGAGGGACTGTGGAAGTGCTGAGCTTCCTGCTCCTTTGGGGTGCACCTCGCACCTGGCAAGGTCCTTGTAGGGTAGAAATGGACTTGTTCGCTAAGCTAAGCTTAAGAGTCCACCCTCTTCACTCTGACTTGGGAAAGTTTTTCCTAGCCGCTGAATCTCTGGTACATTGTGATCCTAATGCATGTGTGTGGCACTCAAGTGACTTTCATGTTTACAGCCTGATGAAGTGAGGAGGAGGAAAGCCCAAGGGCTGTGGAAATGAGGACCATGCAGCTTTGCCAGAGTGTTGTGCTTGGATATCTGGTTTGTTTTGTTAAAGCTTTTTATCTGGCAGCCCGCCTTAAATCCTCCATGCTGAGCGTCCCGCTGCCTGCATCACTCGAGCTGGTGCTGCAGATGGAGGGCAGGCTCCAGCGCCACGCAGGGGTGTGGGACATGCCCTTGTTCTAACCAGCAGCCCCTTTGGCCTGAGAGCTCAGCTGAACCAGGAGGTAGAAGGCCAAAAGAGCAACTTTTAACTGTTCATAAGAGATGCTAGAGGTTCTGCGCCCTTCACAAACGTTAGACAAGTCCTCCTGTAATACAGACAAGTGCCAGTTCACTTTTTTATTTAAGTAGTTCCGGAATTGCTCCAGATTTCCTTGTTAAATATTAGGAACATATGGCCTACCTTTTGTATAAAGCCCATCTCATTTGTTTCACTGGTACCTTTAAAAAGGTGTCCAAATTCATGTACCTGTGTCAGTGTAGTGTGTACCATGCCAGCTGGCTATGCCAGGCTCTTAAGTGCTACTGATGCTGGATACGTGTCTGTTTACTGCAAGTAGTGGAGACTTGCACCCCACCTAAGTATAAGGGAAGTACAGACAGTGAGATTCAACTTAGAAAACATCTAAAATTAAGTGAGATTAATTCCACAGCCTACACAGGATCATTTTCTGAAGTAGCTTGTAGCAAGTCAGTGTGCAGCTGTGATGGTGATGAAGGCACTGGGTTTTATGGGTGGGAGCAGAGCCAGCAGCTCGTTCTCCTTTTCTCTGTTACGCTGCCTCTAAATACTTCATCTAGTTTTGGGCAACCAGTACAAGAACCATGTTGATAAGCTTGAATTAGCAAGAACAGCAGAGATCCGGGCTGGAGCACTTGCCCTGTAAGGAGACGCTGAGTGAATGGGGCTTGTACACGCTGAAGGCCTAAATACTGCCTATGAGGAGATCATGGAGGATGTGGAGCCAGGCACTCTACAGAGGTGTTTGGTAGGGACACAAGAGACAGTGATCACAAATTCAAATAAATCGGGGAAGTTGTAACAGAATATACAGAAAAGATGTTTCCTCCTTAGTACAGTGAAGCACTGGAACAGAGGACCAGAGAGGCGGTGGAACCTCTGTCTCTGGGGAGGGTTTGAAGCTCAGCTGCACAAAACCCCAAGCAACCTGATCTGAATTCAGTCTTCATCCTACATTGGGTAGGAGGTTAGCTTTCTCTGCCGTCATGTCCTTGCATAAGAGCCAAGACTGATCTGCCTAAATCCTGACATGGAGCAAACTGAACCCCTAACTGTCCCTTCAGGAATAGCAGGAGACAACTTTCAGACAAGGAATCCTCTCCCATCAAGTTTGCGGATGTCCTGAGCAGTGCATACATGAAATTATTTTTTCAATATGTTGCTATCTAAGATACTAAAGCACCCCAAATTTGGTCGCTTCACAGGGGCTTGAGGGATAAACTAAGAGAGGGTTTAGCCTGGTCTAACATGAAGTCTGAGATTCCAGCTGATTAGAGGAGTGGGGTTTAGGTGGCTGACCATAAGCCTCTGCTGGTATTTCAGACTCGCCAGGGTATCCACACCTCCACAGTGCTATAGCCACTCAGGCTTCAGTGGAAATGCTTTGCATTTGGATCCCAAACCTGTGAGATGTCTTGCTGTTCTCTTCATACAAAACAGTTATACCAGTTCAAAAGAATGCACACATGCTCTCAAATAAACAGAGCTAGTCAGTGTGTTCATCCTTCTTGGTGTCATTAATATACTTTACTAATCAACTAAAAACTTTTCTTACAGCATTGTCTCTTACCTCTCCATTAGCGAAGCAATATAAAACTGCTACAAAAAAACCCTGTAAGAGACAGACAGTAAGAGGAAAATGTTAGGGTGTGCAGGAAATACCTGAAGTTTTAGTTTAAACATGACATTATCGTTAAAGCCATAACTATAAACAATGCTTTTTCATTTTCAAAAAGGAAACTAGTTGCCTGTATTTACTTATTATTGAAGTACCCACTAAATTGTTTTCATATGGTGCCTTAGCAAATGTAGGGCACATTTGTTGCAGATGCTGAAGAACAGAGACTATACAACCCAGTCAGATCTTCCATGTTATCTTCATTTTGCCACCGCAGAATTTATTTTTTTTTTTAACTACTGCTGTTCTACTGTGACTGCTGCTATTTCCAAACATGGTAAAACAAAAGAAATGCAGCTTGAGGTCTCATATTATCTATGTGCTTTTTTGAATTTGCAAATAAGACTACTGAGAGGGATCTCATTGATTTTTTTTTGTTAAATTAGTGATATAGTAAGTGATAAGTGCTAGTTTAAGGCTCAGCTGTGTTAAGTGTTTTAAATTGATTTAATTGATTTAAATAAACACCTTTCAAAAAATGTTAAATCCTAAAGATAAAACTTGTTTTAAACCAACCCTGAAATTGCTCTTTCCTTTTTCCATCTCTCAGATCAAAACAGCTTACATGCATGCACCTCAGCCTACCCGTCTGGCACAGATATGCAGATTTGTTACCATTGCTTCAGGAAATGCACTTCTTTTCGTATGTCTAAACACATCAGTGACACAACTTCTGATGAAGATAATAAATAGTGTTGACTATTAGTCTCAAGGCAATGTTCATATTACGAGTAAAAACATGTCATAACCTTATTTATAATACAACTGACATCATTCAATTGTTTTCTCACTTGTACTTTTCCAGAAATGTTTCAGTTTTTCTCAGACTAAAGCTTAAAATGAAATTCACATACACAGCTGTTAGTAACATAAAAATTAACATACTGTTAATTTTCTAGCAATCCTGAAAGGTCTTCTGTTCTATTCACAATGGCAACATGATAAATTACTCATTAAATAGCTGAGTGTTGTATACCAGAAGCCAGTATTTTTTCCTGTGGCTAACAATTTGCAAGCACTAGTGAGCCGACATGTTTAGGTTTCTCCACTTTCTAAAGCAAAGGGGCATCATATCTACAGCAGAATTTAATATAGTGCTCCTTGAAAATGTTTGAGTTAAAACCTCCAGATGAGATCCCAGAGGTAATTGTTTTTCTGTAACAAAACAGTTTAACTGCTTTTAAAAACTACTGAGCAGATTTACAGACTAAACAAATGTAATTGTGTACAGTTTATGTGCTCTTTTGCTAATCCTTTCAGAAATAATGCTGTAGCTAAAAAAGAGAATCTGCAATAAACATTGTCTAAGGTCTTTGGGTATTTTGAAAAGAAGTTTTGCTTCTAAAGTGTGCCATGTAGCCAAGCACGTGCATGTTGCTCTAAAAGGAATGAAGTTTGTGTTTTCTAGCAGGGATGAGCAAGCTATCGTCTATATCAGATTTCTTTGTACAAGCCAGTAAATAAAATTTTCACTTAAAATGATTCTGTGTTTCTTAAAATAGCATCTAGTCACTGCAACCTCTCCAAGTAAGGATATGTCTAACTGAGGAACATGTACTTCAACACCAAGTCCGCAGGCTCTCCTAGGGTGGTGGCTCTGCATGAACTCCCTTATGCCTGCCTGGGCTTTTCGCCCTCAAGCTGTAGTGGAAATTTTTCATTAGAGCCTGAATAACAGTGTCAAAGCACTGATGCTTACATACACCAGAGCACTGGTGCATACATACAGGTTAAAATCAAGAATCACTGTAAATTGGAGGAAAAGTGCAATAATGTGTGGATGACTTCATGTCTCAGGCTGCAGAAGAGGGCAGATGCATATCGAAGTAGTGAGTTAAGGAGTAGTAAGGACTCCCAGCCAGAGATATTCACATGCTTCTCCTCACAGCAAAAGTTTTATCTCTGCTCGTTGTTCTCACAGTATTCAGATCTGCATCTCCTCTCATCAAACTGCCCCAAATGCCATGTAGTCTACATTCAACTCCTTTTGGAAAAAGTCCTAAAAGGTAAGGACTGCTCCACAGGTCCACTGTGTCAGTAAGGTGTCAGTCATGAACTGACTGCCCCAACTACCTAAGCTAAATTGAGGCTGATCCTTGTAACTCCTGGTGCAAAGAGTCTTGACTGGTTTTTGTTTGTACAGTGGCACGACAACAAGGTCATTGTGGTGTGTTTGAAGTATGTTGGACGTGTACTATGCACGTAAAAAGACGAGTCTGGACTAACTCTCTCCTCAGTATGACTGCAAAGTCAACAGATCATCTGAAAATTTTGATAAAAAAAGACATCCACTGCTTTTTAGGAATTAACTTACTTGAAACACATATTTGAAGTAGAGCACTTTAATCCTGTTTTTAGAACAGGAGTCTCTGATGAACTGCCACCAATTACCAGAGAACAGAGGACACTGTTACTGAAGATGTCAGACTCCTTTTTTGGACTTTGGGACTACCATATTTTGAATATGCGATTTGTGAATTTTTTATCTTGTGACTGTAATAGTGTATCTAGAGACATTATGGTTTGGAGCATAATATTAAATAAAAATACTGTATATTTGTGATATCTACAGGTGGGCAACATATATGTGTGGATCTATGACCCTAAAAACGGTACTTACAAAACAGTACTTACATGAAATGAGCTCATTGTCAGCTGAATGAAAAGTCTGATATGTCTTGAAAGTCCTTCCACCTGTTCATCGGTGATGAAAGTAAATAAAAATTCATGGATCCCCAACAATGGAATCAGCACAAGTGTAGATCTTGCCAATCTTAAAAAGAAAATGTTTGATTACAGTAGTTTTTCGATATCCTTGCTCCAAAAATAAAAAATTAATCTCCAAAGAAATTATTCCAGAAATATTCCCTCAATTTTCAGACTCTGGAATGGTATTTTTTTTTGTGATATTGAGGACAAATTCCCAGATCTAAATTTTGGAGCACACTATCAGAAAAGGCTGTACAGGAGGGAATCTTGGCTTTGAGTTTAATGTGAAAAGTTAGAGAGAAAAATTTGAACAGGGAAGCCACTATCATCAAACTTATGCTGCTAGGTAACAGAGAAATATTTATACAGCTAAATATGAGTGATCTGTTAACAGGGTTCTTAGACCTTCCTATCACTGCTGAAAACTCTACGCAGCTGTATAGGAAGTTTTTGAGGTACTGTCAGCCGTTGTCTGCTTCTTAAAAAAATGCAACCAGAAGAATTTTTGTGAAAGAGGATCTTCTTTAACAAGTCTGGGAACGTTTTTGCATGGATGAAAGAAGAAATCTCAAAAGAGAGTTCGTTCTGAGGAAGACTTGCAATGTGAGGAATAGTTTGAGTCTTTGAAAGTTTAGCAAAATCATAAACAGTAGAAAAGAAAATATAACACAAAAATTAGGCAATATTAAATACAGGTACTGATGCCTGTGGCTATCATCACAACAATCTTCCTGTAGCAATGTAGAGAATATAGCTGAGATCTTTTGTACCTTAAATATTGAAGGAAAATGGAAATACGCTTCTTGTTAGGGATTTAACACTGGAATTTAATAGGAAGTTAGTGGAATTTCCATCCCACCACTGCCTGCCCAGTCCTGTTAGACAATAAAATAATTCTTCTTAGTAACGCAGGACTGTAGTAGCAGACAGATTCACAATGCTTTGATTAAAGATACTAAGAACTGGAAAGAACTGGGATGTGGAAAGCAGGTAACGAATCCTCAGGTTTCTACTGATTTAAGGGCAGTTTTCACTGCACCCTTAGCTCCTTGCAGAGCAGCCCGTCCTTGCTGTTCCCACAAAGTGGGAAGATGCTTGTGCAAAGGCCAACTCCAAGACTTTGTGAAAGACATGCTGCACCATTGAGACTCTGGCCAAGAGAGCCCACACCAGGGCCTGCAAGAGTGCAGGTTAAGGATAGTGTTCTCATTTGGGTTTACAAGACCAGGGATATCTTGAGCCAACGGTGTCTGCGTCTGTGAAAAAAGGTAGATCAAAAATGCTAATGTCCCATAAATATTCTACACCTCCTTTTCTTTGGAGAACCTTTTGTCACACTCAAGGAAAAAATGTGTCACAGCAGTAGAGGCCACAGGTGTACAGTGAGGATACCTGAGAGCAGAGATCTTACTGCATTGCAAAGTCCTTGAGAAAATGCTCATAATACTCAGCACACAGGTGCTGACCTGCCTTTACCTTTCAAATAAGAAAATGTTTGTGGAGTCTTTTTCCCCAGATGGCTTTCCTATATCATACTCTGAATACCTGTTACACCTGGTGATAGTAGGTAAATGTATAATCTGCAAGGGCCAACTGGCAACCTTCTGATGTTGTGAGAAAATACCTGTATTTGTAGTCATGAAAGCTCATTTGCTGAGCTTTCAGTTTGGAAATCAACATCCTGAGAATTTTTAAGAAGATGCCAAAGTTAACCTTGAAAGAAAATACATATGGGTTACTTACAATAAATGACACTACTCATATAGCTATTTAAACAATTTAAAATTGATATTAAGCACTTGTAAAACCTTTCACAGAATAACCAGAGTGCAGTTGTGGTCAGGTCAGAACAGAAGCAGGTTATTACCACAGCTTCAGCAGGGAGTACAGAGCAGCAGTGACAGATTCTGCTGGTATCAACTCGCTCCAAATGAGGCAGTTAAGAGACCTTATATACCTTTAAGTCATACAACTATTCACCAAACCATGACAGGTAAGCAGGATGTGGTAAAAAAGAGCTGTGATTGCAGTTCTTCAGATAAAGAGGCTCTAGACAGCCAGACAAGCAAGCCCTGGGCATTGTTTTATGAATAATTCACTCCTTTGTTAATTAAATTGTGCTCACTCCGTCAAGAAAAATTGCAAATATTTCTTTTCTAATGAGGCCTGCAAATGCCTATGAGGTGTTAACTATTTCATTTCCACAAACCAAAAGCCCTATGCAAAGAAGTTATCAAGTTCTTCAAGTTGAGAAACTTAGCATTGCCTTATTCAGCCTGATTTATGTATACATTATGATACATGATCTTCCAGTACAAAATTGCATTTTAATTTTAAGGCAGAACACTGCTTCTTCATTTTGGGGATGGACAATTATTCGGGACTACTCTTCTTGTCTTCTTTTGATGTGAAGGTGTTACTGTTGGGACCCTAGTTCTTGTTCTTTGTAAAGATTCAAACATTTTTCATGGTGTTCTCCACAAATATGCACAGATTTATCTTTAATACATAACAGGGTGATAAGTAGATATTATTTCCTTTAAAAATAGAACAAATCTAAAGCATAAATAGACGGAGGTCCAAAGAGTAAGATCTCACCAGCTAGAGGTGCTTTGGTTTGATTTTGCAAGGCAATTAGAATCAACATTGTCTTACTAAGAGTATCATACTTGTTACTTTAGCTGCAACTGGGAGTGCTCAACCCTTACCCCATCGGCTGTCGGGACATTCAGGAATCAAATACCAGAAGTTCGTAGCCAGTTAAGAAATTTTGCCTGGTATTGTATATGAACTTGGGGACAGAGTTGGAAAACAATTTTCTGAGGCAGCATTGAACTACCTTACCCTCAGGATCATGCTTTTTCCTCATGAAATACCCTCTTGTCTTTCACACATCTCTGTTACTAAAGTGCCTGTCTTGCAGACTGTGCTCTCTTGTTTTATTCTGCAGTAACAGTTCATCTTGTGGGCATCTGTTTGGACAAGTTAAGGGAGATCTAGATGCACACAAGTAAGAGAGAGGGTGAGTTACTTTTAAATGGGTGACTCTACTTCGGGTCTTTTCTAACTTTTAGAATTTGACTTCTCCTTTTACTATAATTTTTTGTTTTTACAAAAACAAAGATTTCATCATACTCAATAAAGTTCTTCGAAAATAGAGCTAGTGAGCGTTTTCCTTCCAAGCTTACTTCTGTCTGAAAAAATATGTTTATTCTGTAAATGGTTTTTCATTATGAACTTCTGCTTTTCACAGAAAACACTTCATTGAAAACGACTGCCATAAGTTTGAAATATTTTTACTTTCAATGTTTCATAGAAAAGATAGGATTTTCACTAGAACGTGAAAGCAAAATCACAAATTACAGAATGGTTAAGGTTGACAGGGGCGTCTGGAGGTTACTTTGTCCAACTGTCCTGCTCAAGCAGGGCTGCCTAGGGCAGTTTTCCCAGGTCCATGTCCAGACGGCGTTTGAATATCTCCAAAGATGGAGACTCCACAACCTCTCCAGGCAACCTGTACCAGTGCTTGGTCACCCTCACAGTGAAAAAGCATTTCCTGACATTCAGAGGAAACATCTTGTTTCAGTTTGTGCCCTTTGCCTCTGGTCCTGTCACTGGGCAGGACTGAAAAGAGCCTGGCTCCATCCTCTTTGCACCCACCCTTCAGGTATTTATCTACCTTGATATGATTCCCCATAAGTCTTCTCTGCTCCAGGCTGAACACTCCCAACTGTCTCAGCCTTTCCTCATGGGAGAGATACTCCAGTCTCTTAATCATCCGTGTGGCCCTTTGCTGGCGTCGCCCCAGTATGTCCATGTCTCTCTTGCACTGGGGAGCCCAGAACTGAATACAGTGCTGTAGGTGTGGCCTCACCAGTGCTGAGCAGAAGGGAAGGATCGCCTCCCTCGACCTGCTGGCAATGCTTTGCCTAAGGCAGCCCAGGATACCAGGTACATTGTTGGCTCATGGTCAACTTGGTGTCTGCCAGGACCCCCAGGTCCTTTTCTGCAAAGCGGCTTTCCAGCTGGGCAGACACCAGCAGATACTGGTGCCTGGGGCTGTACCTCCTCAGCTGCAGGATATTGCACTGCTCCATGTTGAACTTCATGAGGTTACAGTCAGCTCATTTCTCCAGCCTAGAAAGGTCCCTCTGGATGGCAACATGGCCCTCCGGCATCTCAGCCATGCCTTCCAGTTTGATGTCATCTGCAAACTTGCTGAGCATACATTCTGCCCCGTTGTCCAGATCATAAATGAAGAGGTTAAATAGGATCAGACCCAGTACTGGGTACACTGCTAGTTACTGGCCTCCAATTAGACTCCATGGCACCTGCTGGGCCTAGTCATTCAGCCAGTTTTCAATCCACCTCACTGCCCATCCAACCCATACATTGAATTGGTGGTTACAATGGCTGTGTCACGGTCCCTGTGTCAGTGCTTTTGAAGATCTCAGCAGGATGATCCTAGTGTAAGTACTGATATTACAAAAATTAGCCCCTACCTCACATTAAAAATGTAAGACTATTTAGTAGCAACTTGGGATTATAGCTAGAAACAGTAACTTAAATATAAAATGTAAAAAGCTGTCTATGTGCAAGAACTCTAATACTTTATTTCTTACCTATTGTGGGACAAAGAAATTAAAACGGGACATGGAGTTTTTAAGATCAGTGTTAAGAACTATGTCCCTCATAGTCTCTTCCAGTTCTCCACCACCAAACTCAGATAATTACTTTGTTTTTGAAGTACTCTGAAATTTCTGGATGTACATAATATATATACAATACACATAAAATCAAGATGCCATCATTCTTTTCCATGCTTCTTTTCCATGGCATCATTCTTTTCCACACATGAATAGAGCTGCTCAGGAAACAGCAACACACAAGCTAGCATCGTGCTTTCCCCATGACTCTTTTAATTTTGTTTTAAATGAAACAGGACTGTGGAATAAAGTCCAATAAGATTTTTTTTAAAAAAAAGGGAAACATGAACTTTACATTTCTGATGTTTCACAAGAAAACGCTTAGAAACTTTTGGCCCGTACACCAGTTTATGCCCTATGAGGACAAGGTCCAGCTGCAGTACCTGGCTGTTGTAATCCATGCACAACCATCATTAGGTAGTACTGACACACATTTCACCAGTGGATTTTAGATAATTTTGCTGAATTATATTCAAGAACAGGATATTGAGAACATCCTCTTATTACACGATCCGGCTCTGGGTTTCTAACCCCTGAACTTCTGCCCACTATGTAGTTCTCTTGCCTCCATTCTGTGTCTGTCCCTCTATCCAATTTATCTTGCTAAGCATCCTCTTAATTCATCTTCACCACTCTTCTTCTTCAGAGTCCATCAATCCCTCAATATTACACCTTGAGCAGTCCTTATTTTATTCCCCAGACACATTTGCATGAATAAAGTATATCTCTTCTGTACAATATTTGCTGTCTGTCTAGCTAACAAATCACTTATTCCTCTAATCCTTTTATGCCCTGCTGACTGCATGAGAGTATAAGGTATTCTGGACACACACCACAATGCCACCTATCAAAATTCTGTGTTCATAATCATGCCCTCATGAGTTGTTTTGATCATGCTATTTCCATCTCTTCATTATCAGCACATTTCAGGTGTACACTCATTTGCATTTCTTTAAGAAAAAAAATCATAACTCAGTCTTGTCATACTATGCTTTTTTTTTCATTAGGTGAATGCTTTCTGCGCATGACTATCAGTACTTCTGTTGCTACTTCTCTGCATCGTTGTAATCATAAGATCTTCCTCTGTAGAGAATTTGGAGCTTTTCAGTGGTGCTCTGTCCTAAGTAGCCTGCTCATTGAGAAAATGAGGGTAAAAATATGAGAAGTAAAAAATATGAGAAGCAAAAGACTCCATCTTTGATGTAGATGGAGCTGTGCAGAATTCACTGCACAGATAAACAGCAGTGTTTTGAGAGGATGAGACTGAAATCTTTGTTGTTTATAGAAAGAAAGGAAGCTATGCCCATCGACCCACAGTAAGAAACCTAATTTACTTTTTTTTCTGTCTCATCTTTTCTAGTCCAAGAATTTGATTATACATGGAGAAAGGGTCACAAAAGACAATCACACTTGTGCACGATGTTAGGAACAGATGAAATTATTCTTACTGCAATGGAAGCCAATATTGGTCCTCGGATGATCCACCAGATCCCCATGTGTTCATTTGTTCCCCAGCACCTGAAAAGTAACATATAATGACATTATTTTCACATAAAAAAATCAGAAAGCTTACATAACCTATGTACATATTGCAAGAGGAAGTTGACAAAGTTCAATTTTTTCAGGTGGCACTCAGGAGAAATGGAATAAAACTAGGAGGAGTCTCACCAACAACTGCAATAATTGTATTTATTCTGAAGATCTTTCCACCAGAATGTTGAGAGATTCAGAACTATCTAGTAAACTCAGTCTTTAGATCCACACAACTGTACATGGTACCAAACCTTCATAATGGAATTCATCCTACTCAAATTTATCTATCCTGTTGTTCGCACCAACAAGGAGGGGCTGGTGGGGAATATGAAACTCAAGGGAAGCCTCGGCTGCAGTGACCATGAAATGGTGGAGTTCCAGTTCCTCAGGGCAGCAAGGAGGACGCACAGCAAGCTCACTACCCTGGGCTTCAGACTTTGGCCTCTGCAGGGACCTGCTCAGTAGAGTACCACGGGATAAAGGCATGGAGGGAAGAGTGGCCAAAGAAAGCTGATTAATATTCCAGGCTCACCTCCTCCAAGCTCAGAAGCATTGCATCCCATTAAAGAGAAAGTCAAGTAAAAACAGCAGGAGGCCTGCATGGATGAACAAAAAACACCTGGACAAACTCATGCACAATAAGAAAGCCTACAGGGGGTTGGAGCAAAAACGGGTAGGCTGGGATGAATACAGAGAAATTGTCTGAGCAGCCAGGGATCAGGTTAGGAAAGCTAAAGCGCTGAGAGAATGGGCTGGTAAGGGACCTCAAGGGCAACAAGAAAATCTTCTATAGCTACGTCCATTATAAAAGGAAGGCTAGGGAAAATGTGGGCCTTCTCTGGAAGGAAACAGGAGACCTGGTTACCTGGGATATGGAGAAGGCTGAGGTACTCAATGACTTTATTGCCTCAGTCTTCACCAGCAAATGCTTCAGCCACTCTACCCAAGTCTCACAAGGCAAAGGCAGGGACTGGGAGAATGAAGAAATGCTCACTGTAGGAAAACATCAGATTTGAGACCATCTAAGGAACCTGAAGGTGGCCAAGACCATGGGACCTGATGAGGTGCGTCTGCAGGTCCTGAGGAGATTGGTGGATGAAATTCCTAAGCCACTATCCATCACATTTGAGAAGTCACGGCAATCTGGTGAGGTTCCCACTGATGGGAAAAGCGGAAACATAACGCCCAGTTTTAAAAACAGAAAAAAGGGAGACCCAGGGAACTACAGGCCAGTCAGTCTCACCTCTGTGGCTGGCAAGATCATGGAGCAGGTCCTCCTAGAAACTACACTAAGGCATATGGAGAACAGAGAGGTGACTGGTGACAGCCAACATGACTTCACTAAGGGCAAATAGTACCTGACAAATCTGGTGGCCTTCTACAATGGGGTTACTGTGCTGATGGATAAGGGAAGAGCAACTGATGTGATCTACCTCGACTTGAGCAAAGCATTTGACACTGTCCCACATGACATCCTTGTCTCTAAATTTAAGAGACATGGATTTGATGGATGGACCACTCAGTGGATAAGGAATTTCCTGGATGGTTGCACTAAAAGAATTGCGGTCAAGGGCTCGATGTCCAAGTGGAGACCCATGACGAGTGGTGTTCCTCTGGGGTCAGTACTGGGACCAGTGCTGTTTAACATCTTTGTCAGTGACATGGACAGTGGGATTGAGTGCATCCTCAGCAAGTTTTCCAACAACACCAAGCTGAGTGGTGCGGTCGCCACGCTGGCGGGAAGGGATGCCATCCAGAGGGACCTGGGCAGGCTTGAGAGGTGGACCTGTGCAAACCTCGTGAGGTTCAATTAGGCCAAGGGCAAGGTCCTGCACATGGGTCGGTGCAATCTCAAGGCTGGGCAGAGAAAGGGTTGAGAGCAGCCCTGCTGAGCAGAACTTGAGGGTCCTGGTTGACAAGAAGCTCAGTATGACCCAGCAATGTGCACTTACAGCCCAGAAGGCCAACCGTCTCCTGGGCTGCATCCCCAGTAGCGTGGCCAGCAGGTCAGGGAGGGGATTCTGCCCCTCTGCTCTGGTGAGACCCCCCTGGAGTCCTATGTCCAGCTCTCAAGCCCTCAGCACAGGACAGACATGGACCTGTTTGAGTGGGACCACAGGAGGCCACAAAAATGATCAGAGGGCTGGCACATCTTTCCTGGGAGGAAAGGCTGAGAGAGTTAGGGCTATTCAGGTTGGAGAAGAGAAGGCTGTGGGGACCCCTTAGAGCAGCCTTCCACTACCTGCAGGGGTCTACAGGAAAGCTGGAGAGGGACTTTTTACAAGGGCATGTAGGGATAGGACAACAGGTGATGGCTTCAAGCTGAAAAAGAACAGATGTAGATTAGATATAAGGAAGAAATTCTTCACTATGAGGGTTGTGAGGCACTGAAACAGGTTGTCCATAGAAGCTGTGGGTGCCCCCTCCTTGTAAGTGTTCAAGGCCAAGTTGGACGGGTCTTTGAGGAACCTGGTCTAGTGGAAGGTGTCCCTCCCCATGGCAATGGGGTTGGAACTAGATGATCTATAAGGTCCTTTCCAACCCAAATCATTCCATGATTCTGTGATTCTGTCTGGAACTGGAAACTGGAAACGGGTAAACTATGAATTGTGATGATGGTTCTTGACCTGCTAAAAAGTATGCATACTGTTTCCTTGAAGCTGTCTCCTTTTCTTCTGCTCTAACCTTCTATTTTGTCCTATGCACATGTTCCTTCTTGCTAATTAGCCGGCTAATTAGCTAATTCTGTAGGATCTTGGCTTGTCATTTATGGTCTACATAACTTCTAACTCCATGAGACTGTAACTGTGATGTGGCTCCTGATGCGCTTGCTTAATAACTATACTGGCGCTCCAAACAAAACTCTCTAGAAACCAGGAATAAAAAAGGGGAACAAAAGAAATCATACATAAACCCCGAAGTCTATGTGGTGCCATTAAGAGCATCACTGAAGATCAGAAGCCTGGAAAACTGATGCTTAGTAGTGCAAGTTACTGATTCATTCACCAAATACTGAACGCATTCATTTAGTATCAGCTTTTAGTGAATATCAGGTTTTGTCATTATCCTCTATAATAAAACCTTTTTTTTCAAAATGGCAGTGAATACTAATCAAAAAAAATACTAATCAAAAAAAAGTGTAGGTGGTCTCCAAGAAAAGCACTGATCTCCTTTTCTTACTAACAAGATGCTCTCCATGAAGATGTTTGTGCTGACTATTTGCTTCATGTAAGTGGATGAATATTGGATGTAATATCTTCCATTTCAGGAACAGTGAATGTTCATTGTATTTCTGGATTCATGCATAAGTAAATCCAGGAATTCCTATAAGTAGTTTAATGTAACAGTACTAAAATGAACCTAGAAAATGTGACAAGTATTAGTAGCTGCTGTATAATCTTACCACAATCTACTAGTCAATATTTGTGTCGATTATTGTCCAGGGCTTCCAGAAAAATTAAGCAAAGAGAAAGCCAGTATTCTAAGGCACATTTGATTTAGCAGCCTACCTTGTGTTCTCCAGTTTTGACCTGCTAATTCCCCAAGGGCCCACAAACAGGATAGGAACAACTGAAAAGAAAAGGAGTCAATTACAACCAAGCTTGCAGAATGGTTCAGACAAAACACAGATATGCTACAGTAGTGCATGGTGCAAAGACATATGCTTTTCAGCCTTCTATTTAGAATTGCACAATAATCAACCTGATCCTGGCATTCCCCATTTGTAGTTCAAATACAAAATTAAATTTCATTGTATAGTTGAAACTTGCATTTTAAGACCAACGTATACATATATATGCACACAAATGCTGCTGACCTGTCCAAATCTTCTAAATTCCCAACCCTGAGAATTCAAAATAATTGGTACTTGAGGCCTCACAGACCAGCTAAGGCACCAGCTGTTAACACTTTTATTTGCTGAACCTGAAAGGCCTGTAACTAGTGGTGTCCCCCAGGGGTCAGTACTGGGCCCAGCCTTGTTCAGCTTCTTCATCAACGACCTGGATGAAGAGTTAGAAAGTACCCTCAGCAAGTTTGCTGATGACACCAAGCTGGGAGGAGTGGTGGATACACTGGCAGGCTGTGCTGCCATTCAGCGTGACCTGGACAGGCTGGAAAGTTGGGCAGAGAGGAACCTGATGAAGTTCAACAAGGGCAAGTGCAGGGTCCTGCACCTGGGGAGGAACAACCTCATGCACCAGTACAGGCTTGGGGTGGAGCTGCTGGAGAGCAGCTCTGTGGAGAGGGACTGGGAGTGCTGGGCGATGACAGGTTGACCATGAGCCAGCAGTGTGCCCTGGCTGCCCAGAAGGCCAACGGGATCCTGGGGTGAAAAGTTCCAGCTGAAGGTGAGGAAGAACTCTCCCCTACGAGGAGAGGCTGAGGGAGCTGGGCTTGTTCAGCCTGAAGAAGAGAAGGCTGCGAGGGGACCTAATAAATACTTATAAATATCTGAAGGGTGGGTGTCAGGAGGATGGGGCCAAGCTCTTTTCAGTGGTGCCCAGCGACAGGACAAGGAGCAATGGGCACAAACTGAAGCAGAGGAAGTTCCAGCTGAACATGAGGAAGAACTTCTTCCCTCTGAGGGTGACGGAGCCCTGGAACAGGCTGCCCAGGGAGGTTGTGGAGTCTCTTTCTCTGGAGATATTCAAGACCTGCCTGGACAAGGTCCTGTGCAGCCTGCTGTAGGTGACCCTGCTTTGTCATGGGGGTTGGACTAGATGACCCACAGAGGTCACTTCCAACCCCTAACACTTTGTGATTCTGGGAGTTTTCAATGGAGGCATGGAACTCTGTCTAGTTAATTAAAACAACTGACCAAGGCTTGTTTTCCTGCCTTACCTTTCCTGGACCCCTTAAAGATAATCTGCGGTCCCCATTCCCCTATTGTCAAGCCCTCCCTCCTGGAGATCATACACTGCAGACTGAAAAAAATCCCAAAATTAAGGATTGCTACACTATTCCAGTTGTCTACAAATGTTCTGGCACAAGCTTCAATCACAAGCACAAGGCCTGTGAGCTACAAAAGCGGATGATTGATACGCAGGAGACTTTCTGGTGGATGTGGCAGAAAGGAAGGGAGGTATGGGTCACTGGGGCCAGAACAGGATATATTTAGGATTCTAGGACACTAACCAAGGTCACGAGGAGAGCTGGAGTGTGGCAATATAGGGAAAGGGCCAGAAGCAAAATATTCTCAGAGGTAATAGACCTCTGAGTCCTTAAAAAGGGGAAAGAGATAGAAAAGGTCTCACTTCGGTGGGAGATGGCATTGGTGCAACAAGTAGGTCTGAGAGAACAATCAGGGCATGGACCTCTTGGGAAGGAAGCTACACGCCCAGGGGAATATGAGGTTGTCCCACGGGTAGAGATGATACCCGAGAGGATGAGGTGACCTTACCAAGTGTAGTTCCTGGACAGCAGCTGAGCAGTGTGTCTCAGTAGGTGTAAGCATGGTTTACCCCATGCTGGCTCAGCAGCAGTGGTACTACAAATGTCTGTAAGATAGGTGCCAGATGTCCCACCTGAGTAGTAATTCTAATAAATATAAATAAGAAGTTAAGCTAATTAGTGAGAAAAGGCCTTTAGGAGATCAGTGAATTTTGGATTTAAAACTAAAAAAAAAAAGAAAAGAGCACAGGTGTTCTTACCATTAACAAAAGGAAAAAAACCTGCACAATGTCAACTGTGTTACGTTCACTTGTAACTAACTGATTAAATACTCCAAAATTAAATGTGCCACTGCCACAATTACTGAGCCTGAGTACTCTCTGACAGCAAGATTACACAATGCATAAAGTGAAGCAATCTGTTGTACTGACATCTTCAGAACAAAGCATGCAATACCCTCACGTGTACTCAGAACCTGGTTCAAATTCTGTGAGAGGCAAAAGTCAGATATCTTCTAATCTTGTCAGTAGTAGTAAATACCAGCCATTTCTATAAAAGAGAATTAAGTTTTCTGGGTTTTTTAATGGATATTTATTCTTTCAGGCCAGATAGTTTTGCCCAAAATTCAGTTTTATTGTATACTTCAACAGGGTTTTATACCATGCTTTTGGATTTTTTTTGGTCAGGTTTCCCCCTATGTGGTATCTTAGGTAATGAAGTCCTGTTTTGGATCTTGCTTTAAGCATTGGCATTTTTCTACAGCAATGGTTCTTTGTTAATAAATTAATACAGTCATACTAGAAAAGCATGAAAAATGACCTTATTTGAAATTCACTTCTAAGAATTTCTCCAGTAGGCTGTATTTTTAAATGCTATCGAATTTCCATTTCAGAATTCAACAGGTAAAGTAGATGCCAAAGAGAAATGAACTGTCTTAATTCCATGTGATTGTTACAGAGAGAGCCTAGAACAACTTTTAGACAACTAAAACTGAATGACATGAATTACTGTCAAACTAACAGCCTTGGTAACAATAAGCAAAACATTTCCTTTGAACACATAAATGTTGTAGCATTCCAACTGTAAGGATTAAAATTTCAGTCTTAGCTGCCATTTGCTTCAGCTATTTTTGTTTGAGTTTAAACACCCCTTTAAAATCACACCTCTTTATCCTTGGTAGATAATTTTAGCAAGCAGTACAGCACAGCAAATATGGAATAATTGATTTACAACAGCATAATCATCCACCACAATAAAATCCTTATAAAAATCACTTTTGCCTTTTTTTTTTTTTTTTTTTTTTTTTTTTTTTTTTTAAGTGGGCTATACACTATAGTCCCATAGTCCTGGATACACAGTTTCACGGTTGACAACACAGTTCAACAGGCATAGATGTGGTGATAGTGAATCAGCTTGTAAAACCATACACTGATGAAAGTTTTACAATCAAAAGTTCTTATGGCCATCCATCCTATCCTCCTCCTTAACTCAGGCCACTGGATTTTAACCAATAACTCTTGCAACAAATCTACATATTGTCTAAGACCACATTTTTTATCTTCATTTAAAACCTTCAAAGGCTGTAAGTTGTACAGGCAGATTTTAGATTATTATTGGGTCTTGGGAAACCTCGATTTTCTGCTTTGTCCAGGCAAGGTACAGAATTCTGCTCTTTGAGTAAGCAGCAAATGTAAATGTCAGATTACATGACATAGTTCACAGAAAATTTTTCAAATGCTTGTAACTAACTTTACATTGTCTTTATTCCATGAAAAATGCCTGAAATATAAGGCCTGAATCATGCAGCGCTTGATTGTCCTCTAACTTAAAGCATACTTTCGAACTTCAAGGTGACCTCAGAAGGTGAACACATAAAGAAAATTGTTAAAGTTTAGACAGCTTTGCTATCTAGGTGCTCTATTACAAAGGAAGAAAATGAAGCTGTTGATAGTACCATAATTTTCAATGATGACAGAAAATACAGCCAAATATAGCCAAATTTCTTCTTGTTCTGGGCACTAGGCTTCTCTTTTCTTAGGAAACGATTCACCCATTTTCTGTATCTGCAGGCTAAGCTGAACTGCACTGAAAGTATGACTGCTGGTATACCTTCACTGACAGTCATCCACTTCAAAACAAACAAACAAGAGTTCCGACTTTTTCTTTGTTACAAAGTATCCACCACCAACTCAAAAGTACAACAGAATCAAGAACTTGGAAAGTCTTCTCTACTTACCCCATCCTATCACAATGTATGTCTGTAGCAGTCGTCTTTCAGAGAGGACAACAGTTATCAACAATGTATGCAGATAAATTCCTTCTACTAATAGCCAGAAATAATTTGCCCCAACAGAGTAATGCATGAAAAACTGGGCAGTCCTGCAAATGATAATAATCTGCAGAAATGAGAGATTTGGAATCATTATTAATACGTAAAAGCTCTGATAAATCCTGTTTTTCTCTTGTTACTTTAGTAACCGCTTTAAAACCAGCACGTGGTTGTGATATCACTGTGGCTCAGTCACCTGTCTCACCAGGCTGTCCTTGCTGCTTGGGTGAGGCGGGAGGGGAGTGCAACAGTGAAGATTTCTACATTGTCAGAGAGTCTGAGTGGAGGTGACAAGTAGGAAGAGGCAGTGACAGTGTAGGGTGGGGTATCTGCTCTTTGTCATGATCAGCATCTCAGAACTTTTACTGATGAGCTATTAAAGGTAAATTTGGTTGTTGACATGGGCAAACTATACTAATTCAACATCATACAAGTGTAATTTATCCACAGTGGTCAACATCGTACAAGTATAATTCCTCCACAGCGGTCGCCAATAAGAGATGTTGTTATTCCTTTGTCTAAACAGGTGTAAGAAAATTCACACATCTTCCTAGTACAGAAACGCCTTTAAACTATTTTTTTTCTTTCATAGTGTTCTTTCACAGCAAATACATTTTTTTATAATATTGTCTTGAAAGTAAGATTTGTGTGCATTGCGTTGTGCTATGCATATGAAGAATGAATAAATATAGTGTTTTATAAGTGCTAAATAATGTATAGATTTCTTCCTAGAAACTACAGGTGTAAGCTGTTTTGCTTAGTTGGATGTTTCTAAACATAAATATTGATTAATTTGTTGATTCTATACAAGGTTTCATACAAAATCAATCTATTACAATTTATCAAATCAGGATTTTTTTCTTGATTACTCCAAGCTTTATCAGCAAAATTTCTCAGCTAACAAACATCTGAACACTTTCTACCATACGGCAAACTTCCAAAGCTGTAACTGTTGTAGCCACTAGCAGCACATATTTACTATTAGTAATGAACTAAGAAGTAACCTCAGGACTAAGGTATAATATCCATCCAGTTTCATCATCAGGTTTTTTGGAGTAAATACGGTGGTATACAGTGTCTTTTATAAGAACTGCTGTGGCACGCAAGATAAAAGATGCAAATAAATTCATATGGATGTAGTTTCTTGTGCAGTGAAGTTTTCTGTGGGAGAAAAAACAGTGTATGAATCCTCTGGAATATATTTAATTTGCAGAAATTAAAAAAATAGTTATAATCATATGGTTGCCATCAATGGATTTTGCTTAGGAATTGCTTTTATGATGCTTATTAGGAAAATACCAAACTATTTACATCTGAAGCTAAGCAATAAATTCAATTACATGAAAAGAAGAATGTGCATGCTGTGGTCTGCACTTATAAAACATATGTAAATTTGTACTAACCTGAGTAAAGAAAGTATAAGGAGAGCTAATACAAGTGAGATGAGTGAAAAATAATATCCTACAGTGTACAACAGCTGTAGTGTAGTAAGCAATTTATGTTCTTCTTCCTAGGAACAAAGAAGAAAAATGTGTTATATATGCAGGCAGGCGTGCAGAGCACGAACACAGCTCAGAAACTTTGGAGTCCAACTTCTTTGTGTTGCGAGGCAGCCAGGGGAGGTTTCTGCTGCCTGCTCCCTGCGCTGCCTCATGAAATCACTGCACGACAGAGACACTCGCAGATGGCCTTCGTTTCTTTTCAAGTTCGAACGCACTCACGGTCTCATTTCCAGATTGCTCCTGCGCAAACACCATTCACAGGCCGATTTGCAGCTAATCATTGCCATGATTACATGCACCAAATGGATCCTGGAGGTTTAATATCTGCAGAGATCAGCTCACTCCACCTGTACACACATGCGCAATTGCTATGTGTGTGGTTTGGGGACAGTTACGGACCAGTTGTGTCCGTACAACTTTAGAGTCAGCTCTGTCTAGAGTCACTGAAATAGACTGACTTCTGACATGAGTTCAAAGAAAAAAAATCAAAATTATTAAATTAGAGTTTTCCAGAATGTCTTTGAATGACAAATGAGACCTCAGAGGAGGAAGGGGGACACTCACACCTTTCCACTTCACTTTTTTTAACATTTATTCTTGCTAAGTCTTTCTGTTTAGCTGCTATGTCTCTCTCTCATCTCTTCGTATTGCTGATTTAGCTCGAGAAAAGCTTCTCTGCAGAGTGGACGTAGAGGTACAGGGTATGTGACTTGTATTATCCATATTTGGCCTGCAAAGATTTCCTTGGAACCTGTGTCTCTTCCTTCAGTGATTTTGCTGCTGCTTTTGCGAATTGTCTTACTGCTCGGCGCCAGGGATTTTAGCACTCTCTTCCTGCCAGTAGTCGTCTCTAATCAATTTATGCTATGTATAGCATGGGTGAGCTGTGCCTGCTCGTAGAAACTCTCTTGGAGAGGGTGCACGTGCCCAGGGAGAGCAGTGTGGGTGCAGGAGATTCCCATAGCACAGCCGTTAGTCACTCTACTCCATGAAAACATTCAAACAGGCAGGAACCTAATAAAAAGCATGAGTTATCATCTTGGCTGTGATAATTTTGCAACACCAAAGCACATGGAATCAAGCTGATTCCTCTGATGTGTGCAGATACTAGCAGAGGGTTATTCCCAAAATCTTGGGGCTTTCCATTAAATATAACAAGTAGGTACAAAACCACCTTTAGTGTGGGTAGGAAAGCTGGTTAAAGCTTTCAGAGAAATTGCCTGCTGTAGCACAAGATGAAGTGATGTGTCTCCCACTCAGAAGTTTGCGATCCAGAATGGTCAACAAGCCATGGAAAACTCTCAGTACTTAAGAATATTTATCACTCTTGTATAAATAAACTGTGAGTTTGGAAGTTCATGTACTCACTGTATCAAGAGTGTAGTAAAAACTTAGTAGCACATGGGGATCCTGAACTCACGGTATTTAATAAAGTGATCAATAATGTTACTCAGTAAATTAATAAACAGTAACAAAGCTCACCCGATAAAGTACTAAAAAGTAAAAAATAATCAACAGTGCTTGCCTAAGAGACTTAATTTTGACACCAGCTAAGCTGAACTCTATGGCAAAAGAAGCCACAAAAAGCTGAACCCGGCTAAGCCCCACGCTTTACTCTTCTTTGTCGTTCTCCTGCAGCCGTTTCCAGTCGCTGCTCGGTTGTGCAGCGGGGAGTGTCCGGTTTGCTCTTTATTCAGCTGGCGAGAGCCGTTCCCCCGCCGCTGCATCACACCGGGAGGGATGGCGTTTGCACCGTGAATCCTCCAGCCCGTGACTAGCTACATTTGAAAGGACCGGTTACCGGCTCATTGAAAGCTAAAAGGCTGAGGAAGCGGCAGGGAATGAAGTTCTCCGACCTTGGCAGACTACAGTGATTTGGGGCAGACGATGAGCTGCTTTGAATTGAAGTTATTTGCTTGTCAAGTTGTAGCCTTTTTCAATTTTATTAGGAGAAATTCAGCACACGTGACTGGACTCTGAACTGAAAATAATTTGTGGCATCTAAAGCAGGCATCTCCCTCCTTAATCTTTCCTCCTCCACTCCCTCTAAATAAAATAACAGGTTTCCATTTGGTAATCTAAATGAAATCTGAACATCTTTTGCAGGTATTCAATGGAAATGTTTTATCAGTTACTCAAGAAGGGATTAAGAAGATTAAAGTATTAAACCAGAATATAAAACATACTTACTTTTTTTTTGAAATGATTTTTCTCAGAACATTCTGAACTGTCACGCCAAATGTCTGTGGAGTTTTCCTTCGTTTGCCAAGTCCCTCCATCCAAGCAGACTCTGTGTACATTTCCTACACTTCCTGAAAGTAAACAGAGGTTTGGTCTGAAAGGTCAAAATAAAGATTTCATTTTTCACACACATTTTAAAGATTTCTCCCTTACACCACAGCAATAGACACCACCCTACCCCCACATAAAAAAACCAAATAAAAACCACTTTCCTTTTGTCTATCACAATACATTTTTCATATTAACAGAAGACAATGTAGGAATGCAATCTAGCAGAAAGAAATTCCCAGAATGTACCTGGTGTTTACAAAATTTACATAGTTACTACATCCAAAAGAAAATTCTACATCTCACTTTATTAATTTTTCCTCATTAAGCTCAGAAGTTCTATGAAGTATGAGGAGCACATTTCCCAGGCTAGGCAGTCAAAACTGTAGGAGGAAGAGTATGGTTTGATTAGGGAATAATCTTCCTCTGAAACACCTGTGGCTGGTGTTTTATTTACCTGCTTTGGGGCCTGATCAGCAGGTGCTGTGAACAGGTGAAGCTTTCTTGGCTTTCACTTCATTTTCCTAGTTTATACTAATTGAGAATTTGCCCATCACATCAGCAGAATGCCATGGGGACCCTGGCTGATGTTTGGGTTTTTTTTGATGTTGTCCTCAACAGCTGCCTTCCATTTATTTCTAATCAGACCTGAGCTTTTTCATCCATTTTTAATTAGAGATTATTTAAGGGTTGCAGCAACAACCAGATTATTTTATTTCACTCAGGATAACTGCAATGGAGAGAGCTGCTTTGGGAGCATAGTCTGCTGTGATGGAGGAGCTCTGTGTAAAGACTAGGCACAGAAAACAAATCTGAAGGTATCTACGAAATGTGATCAGAAATATCATTTCTAGCCTACTCTAATTTGTCAGTGCTCAGGCTGGGCAATGATGACAAACCACAGTACATTTATCTCAAGCTTGCGAACATTTCTGGTCCGAGTCCATCAGTGTCCCAGAACAAGCACAGCTAAACCTTGGCAATCGGACCAGCAATAGAAATGGGGACCACAAGCAACCCTAACCCCAGTCCTGCAAAATCTCTAGGACAAAGAGACAGCTGTGCAGTCTCTAATGCCTTTTCTCCTGAGGTGCTGTGGCATGGGTGAGAATGCCAGGTGATGCTGTAACACAGCAGCCCACCGTGTTCCTCACTGTGGACACATTGAACGCCTCATAACCTGGTGCAATGTCTTACATCTTGCTTTTGTAGAAATTTAGATAGAAAAAGAGAAAAAAAAAAGTCTCTATTACATGGAGGGAGGGAAGGAAATGCTTTTATATTTATTCTGAAGAGCTGAATTTGTTCCAGACGGTTGGCAGAAGCAGTTGTTTGGGACACTAGATAGAGGCTGGGTGTCTTTCTGTTTAGCAGCTCAAAAAAGGACAAATTATGACATTACAGAGCAAACCACGCGTGGGGTGAGCTGGAGAAAGCTAGGATAAGGACCCTGTAGTAGTCTCCAATAAGCTAAAGGACTCCAACACAGCTGATCCTTCCAAGTGGCATTAGAAATGCAGCTAAGAAAGCCACATGTAGCTAAGAAAGCCTGTGTAGCAGGATTCAGAAATGCTAGACTGCAGTGGTAGGAATACCCCTGCATTTCTTTAGGAGAAAGGGAATGTTGTTTGCTTAGACTGTTTTGCTCCTGCAGATGTTACTCTTTTCCCCTTCCCAAGAGATTCGCTGCTCCACCCTCTCCAGGAAAAGGATGCTCGGAAAGTTTGTTCACCACACCACTTGCTGGTGGTGCGGTATGTCCTGCTGGAGGACTGACTGCTTGGACTGCTGCTTTGTTTGGCTATTCCAGTTTTCTGGGAGAGAAATGTCTGTCTTCATGTCTGGGATCAGTGGGGACCCCAGAAGTGGAGCCTCAGAAGGTGAAGCCCGAGTCTGTTACTGCCAATAAAGGCCTAGCAGTAGGGTTACACAGTCTTGGAAATCATACTTTATAGCAGACAATATGGAGCTGTAACAGTTACAGATGGCGAAAAAGGGTAAATAGTGAACACTGACAACAATTTTGTGCCTCAATTCTGAAAAAAGCTGAAAAGAGGTGAGACAAGAAAGCCCTCAGACGCTTTAGAGGACACTGGGACAAGAGAGACCAGTACTATCTGTCCTTTAGCTGGATTCCCAGCATAAACTTGAAGAGAAGTGACCGCTTTCACATTACCATTTTCCACCCATGGCAAATATGAAGGACAAGGAACAGAGACGTTTCCTGGGGAAGAGTAAGGCCAGCAAACAAACTGATCAAATGTTCCATTACAATGTATGCCTGGGGAGAGAAGCAAATAGAAGTGTTACAAAAAGTTGTTCAGACAATGGACCATCACGAAAACCATTATATACTGTTCCAGGTAACCTGCAAGCTACTCCAGAGTATTTACAAGATCAAGCAGATAAACTTTGTGCATTCTCTCCACAACGTTCAGTGCACAGTGCAGAAATGGCTGCTGCTCTTCTTCCCTGGATCCACACAACAGCAGGTTTTACCTGCTGCGTTTTGAGGTAAGGGTATCGGTCAAAATCATCCTGAGCCTCTGTTGTACAGCTGTAACAGGTTCCAGCTGTGCTCTCACTTCTTGTTTTTGGTACATGCTGCAGATCTTTTGCTGGTAAACAGAGGATATTGCACCTTTCATGGCCCCCGTGACACCAGTTCTCAGCTCAGATTACTGCCAGTTTCTCGGGTAGTGACTCCTCTGAGTCTTTGGGCAATCGAGGTTAGGGAGCTGGTAGTATCTCACACTAACTCAGTTTCAAGCTCCACAGGTATCACATCACTCACAGGACTTCAGGTTAATATAAAACATTTGATAATGCAGGACTGAAATGGTGCAACCAGGTTACAGTAAGATAAAATAAAACAGAACGCATTAATGGCTGCACTAGTCTCTTGGTTACTTTCTCTCTTTCTTCTCCGTAAGCTGAAGTTCTCCTCTCTTTAATGCTTTTGTTCATCCAAAACTAGATGAGTATATCCTCTTTACTTTCCATAATACTTAGCAATACTTTGAGAAACTTGCGTGGGAAGAAGAATACAGGAAGCAACAAAGACAGTGGTGTGCTATCTCACCCGCATCTTCTTGGGATGCTTCTGCTAAAATACAGAGCACAATATGTGTTTTCTTAGTAATTCCCTTGTACCTTTGAGGCTGAACATCTATGACCCCATCTGCCTTATGACAGGTGTAGTTGTTCACATTTATAGGCGCATTTTTAGTATTCCTTTCCCCAATATCTTACCAACATTTGTTCAGGTGTGAATCGGGTAGGCTGCCAGGAGAAAAATAGTTTTTTCTCCATTTCATGAAAACTGGAATTCTGAATCTCTATGGTTCTCCTGATCACCTGCTACAAACTACTGCCCTCTGATATCTTGCCATGTGTCACTGCTTTTGGCCTCCTGGGTCATCTGGCTTAGTTCTAATTGCCACCAAAAGCCACCATTCTCTGCTTCCCACCATATAACACTCTTGCATTGTGCTAAGGGTTTCTGCACACCAGGTTTTCACCACAGATCATTGATCTCTATCTTCTCACTGCTCTTGCTCTTTCTTTCTTGTCAGATTCAGTTGTAAGCTATCCTGCAAGTGTGCTGGCTAGGCTGATATGTGCTTTGCTTCCCTTGCTTTCCAGAAAAACTTTAGTCCACTTTGCAATACTCATTACTTTGCCTTCTTGCCTCTCTGAGTGTAGTCATGTAGCCTGTAGTTTAAGGCAGCTTCTTAGTCTGACCTTTCTGTGTTTTCCCCTTCCTTATTTCCCACAGTCAAAGCAAGCTTCACTTGGTTAGTGACACTTTCTATGAGCACTCGTTCCATTGCTTTCCTGGGGACTGAAGGAAGACTACAGGGTCTGTAGTTTTCTGCGTGCTTCTTTATTAGTGACTAGTTTCCCTGCCCTGTTTGGCAATGAGCCTCTGTCTTCTCTGTGTGTCTGCTCATGAAGCTTGTTGCTCTTAACATCTTTGGACAGTTTCAGTTCTAGATAAGCCTTAGCTCCTGACTGCATCTCTGCATGCCCTAGCTAAGTTCTGGTGGTCCTCGATGGGTATTTTGCTGCATTTCCATAGCTGGTATGCTTCTTTTTTTGCTTTTAAGCACACCCAAAAGCTCAGGAAGAATGAGTGAAAATTAATTTCCTGCCCCACATATACTATGAAAACTGAATCAAGCTCCTGATGGAGATGGGCGTTCAGAAATGAGAATGGGGTCTTGCCTTGTTTCCCCAACTGTTACAGCTTCGCAGTGTAAGCTAAGGCAATTAGATCATGCTGTCACAACTGCCAGGAGCTGCAGCTGCCTCAGGAGCAGGTCAGTGACGCAGGCTGGAGAGCATGAGGATTCATTCCTTCAGCATGCTGCCATGCCCAAGCAGAACTGCTCGTTCTCAGAAACTCCTATTTCAGTTGAAAGAAGAGAAAGGCTGTTACTGAATGTGATCACTAAAAATAGTTTCCTTGACTCACAGGGTGTATCTTCCCTTTTTCTTTTCAAAGGTCTGTGAAAGTTACAGATTTCAGTATTTTTGGGAAAAGTTTAAGGAACTTTAAAACATAAAACATTACATAATTTAGGCTTGAAAATATCTTTCTTTTTTTATGCTGCTTTATAATCCCAGGCCAATACTTTGAAATAGCTTCCAACTTCTAAATGCATTTTGAATGATGAAAAATACACGCATTGATCTTAATCAGACCATACATTCTGGTTGACAATTTTGCACACTGCAATGTCATAAATGCAGGTTTCTGCCACCAGCAAAGTGAGTCAAAGCTCATAACATCATCTTGGAATGTCCCAGTGCCATTGATGGAGTGAGGTAACCATGAAGTGAGATGACCATGAGTGTACCACTTGCACACAGAGGCAGAGACCTGTTTATAGTCAGTGAATACAAAATACAAAGCACAGTTTCACTCTTAATCTGTACTTGGTGAATGCAGCCACCTCTCTTCCAGGTACTTCTTGAACTTCTCCAACTACTCAGATGAAGCCTGTGTCATCCTCTCCTGAAGACAGACATCTAGCTGAGCAGAGTTCATACTTTTAAGAGTGAAATAATCACAGATTATAAGATCCCCTTTTGCCAAACAGCATGAAACTTGGAGCACTCAACCAGAGGTAGGAGGTGTGGACTCCTTTCCACTCTCTGCCACTTTTCAGGAGAAGACACTGTCTTCTGAAGGTACGCTGCTCTTCAGCCAAGAATCCAACACTATGGAGGCAGAAGAATAAATAAGGGACTTAAAGCTAATGGTTATAAGTGTCAGCTGAACACAGGGCAACCTGGTCTCTGTGTCTTAGCTTATTAGCCTAATGACTGTATCACAAAATGCATAAGCAGTCCTGTGAGAATAAGGCAGCTCCCCAGCTGCCTTCGCTAGGCAAAAACCAGACTCTGTCTTGACTGATGCATTTTGGGTTCTTGTCTGCTATGGCTCTGTTTCTAAAGTGTAGAAATGGGAGACATCTTCTTCTCCCTGGATGATGTGTTGTCTTGTGGTTAGCATAATTTCCAATAACATGGATTTGACTTCCTTCAGGCTGAAAAGGGAAGTGAAAACTGGTCGTCTCCACCCAAAAGACCAATAATGTGTAGCACCTACCACTTGATTAGGCATTCAGTGACACCTTTAGTGATATATTTCACGACAAAGAGAACCATTAACTTCATGATTGCATGCTTGCATGTCTAATTACAGCTGATTGTTCTACATTTAGAACTTACCAACAGGCACACGATTTTGCAAAGCAAGTAAAAGAATATTTGCATATTCATTAATGTTACTTAACACGTGATTTTATTGTGCTGTTTATTTCCTTACCAGTATCTACAGTTGATTCCTGCAGCATTTTCAAGCATGCTTGTTTGTATTTATTCCATTCAGTAGTGGTTTTTTCCAGCAGAGATCCTTTGGCCTGTGAGTGAAAATACTGGACATGAGGAAAATCAGTTAGATCCTCGTGGTCTTTTTGTGGCAGGTTTCCTTCCATTATAAGAAAGTTAAGAGGAAAGGAGAGAAGAGGAGAGATGAGAATGGAGGAACAATAGGTAAGCAGGAAGGTAAAAAAACTAGACCCCTTCCTTCTTTGGGAAGCTATTAGCAATATTTCTTTCATTGCTATCTTTGCCTGAGCAAGAAATGTGTTGACGTGGTGCTATATTACCATAGAAATCTATTCAACTTTTGTAAAATCCTTTCTAAAAAATCCATACAGATATTTAACTGCTGGGACCTGTGAGGGCCCATCAAAAACACTGGCATTTCATTCCTACCCTGTAGACAATGGGTGCTTATCTTCACAAATTTTACAGTCTTTCCAGGCTTTTTACAGTCAATTTATGCCAAGGTCTCACGTATTTATTTTTCTGCTAGATTAATTTATGAATGTGATTGATGACAATTTTGAAGGCTGTTTATTTTTAGAGAATTTTTAAAGATAACCAAGTGCTCCTGGTTGAGTAATACAGTAAAAAATTGAATAAGAGAGTAATGAATAAGCAATACTATTTTAGCTAACACCTTTTCTCCAGTGCATTCTGTATTCCTGCCCAGCACTTCAAAGACCACTTCTTTCTCCAGCAGCTGCACCCATGCCATGGATATCTTTCTTTTCCTCTTTTTTTTGTTTTGAGAAAATATAATTTTATATCTTAGTTTAACTTGCCCATCTGCACCAACTAGGCTGCCCTTTTTGCCTGGATAGGCCACAGTTTTGCTGTCCTGTTGTGTCCACAGGGGAGAAGAGTCTTTGCCCTCAAGATTTCTCATGTAGTGAAATGGAGCATTATTTTTTCCATGCCAAAGTTTTCTCCATATAAAATAACTCACACAAATGGATTTTTATGTCCTGAGCTTTTGTAGGTACATTTGTTGTTGTTGTTTCAGATATTTTCATAGCTGGTTTTGCCTAGACCTTTCTGTTGTAGTGGTGACCCCAGAGGAGACCAAGAACTCTTTTAAATTCTGAAAAGCTAGATTTCTGGAGAGAATATGATCTGGAACAATTGTGTTGACATGATCTGTTTAGAGATAACAGAAATTAAACAACTTGAAGAACAATCTCCGTTTTACCAGTGTAGCCCTGAAGACAGGCTCAACTTTGGGTTTAGTCAGTTTAAAGACATCAGATTCTGTGGAGTCCCCTCTGGTGTCTGGAAATCAATCATCCCATGATTGCAAGAGCTGCCAGCTGCTCTTGGCTGCTCCCACGCTGTGGTCTACTGGTTCCTTGCTCTGTCTCTTTCTTTTTGTCCACTCATCCTGTGTTGTGTTCTGGAAGCTTTTTGTCTCCAAAAGCATTTAGTTGCTCCCAAGAGCAAGAAAAATTCACCCTCAATCCACAGAATCCTACTGGACCTATCACCCACTCTCTTCTCTTCCAGGTGAAGATAGGCTGAGAACACAAATGAAGCAAAAAAACTGTATTGGTGTCTAAATGGGCCCTTGCTTTGATGGAAAAATTCTGGCAGGTTGTATGGGAGAGGATTGCTGCATTTATAAGGCGTGGATGGCACTGCAGCCACAGAAGCACACAGAAGAAACATAAAGGTTGAGGGGATTGTCAGTGATGTTCGAAAAGGGAATGAGAGAAAAGGTAGGAGCCCTGCATGGACGTGCTGACCTTAAGTCACTCCCTTGGCATGGGGAAGCAGGTAATCAGAAGGGAAGGAAACCTAGGTGTTAGCATGAAAGGGTAAGATCAGGGATGTAGATCAACAGTTGCTAGCACAGAGTAGAGAATTAAATTTGTCTCCACCGATAAAATTAGTCCTAATAAAAAAATCTGCTCTGCTGTTAAAATAGAATAAAATTCCCAGCTATGCACAGATTTTAATAATGCTTTTATATATAGTGACTGATGTGTTTAGGATGTGGTGGACATCTGTGGCCTACACCTTATCATTGTAAAGGTTGCAATCATCTTGAGGGAACTTTCATATTTTAACTTGCTCTCTTTAAATATATTTATCACACAACACTGACTGCAGAGATGTTTAAGAGGGCCACAGCTGATAATTACTGTTTAGGAAAGGAGTGGCTAAAAATAGAAGAGTTAAATGCAAAATTGCTTGGTGGTATGTTAGATTTGGACTGATGAAGAAAAATCCAGTTAGGAGCAAAACAGTAGAGAAAGGGTAGTACTAGATACTGCTTACAGTTCAATATCAACATGATGACTTGATCATTATTTCTCCAGGGAAAAGAACATCAGCCTAAGCAGTCTCTGTGTAATATGACAGCTGGTCTCCTGAAACCAGGGCTTTAAGAAGCCAGAGGCGGGCAAGTAGTCAAAGAAAATTGTCACTATAAGTCAATCAAAAATAAAAAAATCACTACTGTTAAAAAATGTTACCAATTGAAACAACCAAATTTTGGAGAGCAGACTAAATATAAGTTTTCCAAAAGCAACAATCCATATACCAAATGATGATTTTCAGCTCTCCAGGGAAAAAAATTTCCTTTTGTCTGGACTAGACCCTTTTTGGAAACTCATACATGTGTGGTTGTCCTGAGCTTGTCGGAGCTTGGTGACGTGCCAAGGGCTGAGATAAATAACCAGGACAATGTATGGCTGTGAGCTTCACCTGTATATTTTTCTTTGAACCTATGTTTGTTGGAAAAATATAGAAAATCATATTTATTTGCTTCCAGAACAAGAACAATGGAGAATATTAGCTAGCTGTTATATAAGACTGCACTCGCATGCATGTTTTTGCTGTGTATACTGCTGCCCGCCCAATACTCTGCTTTTAGTCTCTCAGCTAATTTCTAGACACCCTACTTCAAATTCCAGGGAGTAGAAAGACTATAGTTATTCTTCCTCTGATGGGCTTGCAAGATAAGGAGAGAATATTTACAGCAGCCATGAGAAAGGAACGCATGTTTCCAAAATAAAAACCATCTTGACATTTCCCTCATGTAGGCCTCAAAATGCTGGGAGCCAGGGGAGATTCTTCAGACACTCCCGGGTCAGTGAACCTCATCTGAAGAGGCAAAGACATGGAGATGACGCATTTGTAGAAAAGACTGCTTGATTTAAGGGATAACACTTCAGTTTCTAATAAACAAATGCATTAAACAGCCGAGAAACTACAAGGAAAGCCTCACAGTAGCTACCTGGCTGCTTGTCTGGTTCCATTCCTGGAAACAAGGTTGACGGAGTCAAGAAGCTCACTCAATAAGAGTGAGGAGCAATTTAGGCATAAGTGACAGTTTCATATCACTTCATTATGTGTCAGTCTCTGCAAAGCTGCAGGCAGGGTCAGATAGCTAATACCTGGTCTCTATTGATGTAAATATTTGTGAGATGCTTGGGTTTCTACCATAAGGCTTTCTGATGAAAAAACCAAATCAGGTCTATATAAAATCAGAGCTGCACCTGACAAAAAATTAAGAGGTGACCTCAAAAGCTAATATGAAATATAGTTGGAAGAACATATAAAATAATTTAAACTATTAATCAAAAAAAAACTGCAGCTGACTGGATATTAACTGGAGAGCAGAAAATGACCAATTAATAAGGACCATTTAGATCACAGAGAAACATGAACCCCTCTGCAGAGCACGCACCATGATAGACATAATGCAACATTTTACTCCTAGAAGTTACAGCTGGAGGATGTATGTCAGGACTTTTTGAGAATTTGTGTCTAGTAGTAGAAATGAAGTGACATGAGCCACCTGTAGACAAAGTTGCAGTAAAGGAGACCATTGACATTTCTGGAGTTGTACATGCAAGGAAGGATGTTGAAAAGGAGTGCAAGACGGTATTAATAAGCAGTGTTTGTCCCTGATGCAACTGTGCCTGGATAGTATGACTAACTCTGATGGTCATACCTCAGACAATACGGTGATAAATTTGCAAGTTGTAAGGAAAGTGCTGGAGTGGCTTTTCATCATTAAACTAAAAGACTAAGAGAAATCCTCATAGATTTACCTTATCAAGGAAATTATAAACAGGTATTCAATAGTAAACCATGATGACTTCAATGGGAGAAATTTGTGATCATCAGCTACTTATACAAGGATTACCAAAAGTAGCTAAAAAAGGCAAACTTGCTGTTCATACATGACTATTCAGTCTGCAGTGGTCTTCGTTCTCTCTGTGGAAAATCTATAAGGACACATACAGAAAGAAAGGCTGATGCATGCTAGAAGTGCTTTTGAATGAGGAAAATCATCTTGCTTTCCCTTCTTGGCTTGAAAGGCATTGATGCAGGTGCCCCAGACAGAAGACTGCGGTATTTTCTGCAGTGGGACATCTTGTTAAGGCCCTTCTGCATTAGGTGCACGAGAGAGCTACTCACTGTCCGGTGAGAAGGCAAAGTATGTGGGCTGGGAATAAGGCACTAGCCTTAAGAGGGAAGGGGAAATTAAGGAAGTGATGTCCTTGATCCTTAAGCACCTTGATGTCACATGTCTGTTTAGCTAAGTGAAAGGGATTAAAAAAAAAAATAAAAGAGACAGGCTTGCCTCTCTGTCTTACATCCATGTTGCTACTATTCTTCAGAGAGGGGTGAGGTGGTCTCAGAAAGAGGAGGGTCTGCGGCTTGGGTCAGTGTAAGGAGCACAGCAATCACTGCTGAGATTGCGAGGGCTTTTCCTGCTTTTACCACATGTGGGAGAAGGCCCAGCCCTGTGGGTATGTTCTGAGAAGAACCGAGAAATTGCTCTCTGTATCTGACACAGGTCTGTGATTGCAAATCCCGGTGAGGTTTTATAATGATCTAAGTTTTGGGCTACTCAGTGCTATCAAAATTTAGATACAATGCATGCTCAGTGGTAGAAATACAAGATTTCAGGTAAATTTACCACAATCTCAAGCAGTGGCAGCATGCAGCTCAGCATGGCTTTTGATCTCAGTTTTAAGTTTCAGTTGACGTTGAGCCACTAGCATTTAAACAGGACTTCCGACTCAGTAGAAGTTAAATTCGAACATCCAAGACAGAAGCTCAGAATGTCGGTGACCTTTTGCCCTACACTGGACTTACCTTCATTTCAGGCTATCTGAAATTTCACTGGCAGCAAAAGAACAACCTCAGCCTGCAAGCCTAGCACCCCACTCGCACCAAGGTTCACAAACTGCACAAAGATGACACCACCGTTTAAAATTATGTTGGATGCAGCAGATCACACTGCCTGAAGCTCTCATTTAGGAAGTGGATTATAAAAGTAAACATCCAAGGTTGCAAACAGACTGGTTTAAATTTATTTTTATCATAACTGACCACACTATAATCAGGATTTCACCCCTTTAATTTCTTATACTAAGCTAATGGTAAAATGAAATGTTTCTATTTATTCAGACTATGCTATTATGGTAAAAGAACCCCTCTAATTTAGGTATAAATTATAATTAAGAGCTTAAATATTTTCTTATTATTTCAGCTATGATCCTATTTTTTTCTGATTGATATTATTCATATTTATACAGGAGTTCGCTACAAATTATGGATATAGTGATTTATTATTGTTATTGCTGTAAATTTTTCTTTCTTTAAAAATGAAATGTAAAGAAATACAACATATTTCTTTAAACAACTTACAGGAATCACTATGACAAAGTAATTAATTTTGATTTATAGTCTTGTAGAATTTTGAGCTCACAGAAGTTATTGGATGATTTTTTATTAGCATTGACGGAATGATTGCTTTGGTTGAGGTGTCCTATGGATCTAACGTGTGTCACAAACCTAAGATGTGTTTCAGTTCCATATTAATTTATGCGAGATAAGCTCTAGATCTGAATCATACAAAAGCATTAGGAACATTTTCTATTTAAGGAAACCAGAATATCTGTCTCCTGGTAACTTTTTTTCATAAAAATGCTAGGAACACAGTTACAGTCTACAGCACATATACATGCAAACCCTAAGGAAAGTAACTCAGCTAAATGGAGTATGAGTGGATAGAAATACTTTATTACTTTCAGTTTAAAATAAACCTGTCAATTATACTTATTCTCATGTACATTTATTTTATAGAAATGTACACTAAAGCTATATATGAATTTTATTCAGATATATTGATATTTACTACATCTTAGTAATTTTTTTTAGTTTATCTAGATCAAGATTGATATTACTAAATAAATAATAATGATTAAAAACATAAATGAAAATTTCCTTGAAGTGAATTACACTGAGGTATTTTGTCATTAAATACTTCATAGTCTTCCAAATTGTAAGACAATATAGACAAAGAAGTAAGCTTTCAGATTTTTTTACAGATTTAGAAAAAAAGAAAGTAAATAGTTTAGTACATGTCTACAAGAAATTCAAGTAGAAATCACGTACAGCTTTACTAGCCTTCTGTAAGAAGCTGAGGCACAGAATGAAACCAGTAACACCAAATTTCACAAATGTGAGATTCAATGCTCACCCCTCGTAAAAGTCTAAAAGGCTAAAACATAGTGCTAGAAACAAAGCAAAGCTGTTTTAAGAACAGGGAAAACCAGTAGAAAATAATCTTGATTCACAATAGTATTGATATCTGGTAGGAAAATTGAATAATACATATAATTCCATACTGATCAACATTGTTATGAAAAGAGATTGTATAAACGGACATAAACACAATATATGCATTCTATGAATTGGCATTAATAGAAGAAAATTGTAACAAATGATCTAGTCAGAGTTCTAATACAAAATTCTACAGCTTCTCAGTCTACATTTCTTGTGACTAATTCTCAATGAACCTAAATTGTTATGTCAGAACTATTTTTGAAAAAACCGTGCTGTTTGTGAAGGTTAAAATGTTATCTGATAGGAAGCCACTTTTATAGTGTCCATTATTAATTATTGAGTTAGCTTACCTGTTTCACTAGAAACAGTATCATGACAGAGCTGGCAGGTGAAGGAGATATTCTGGACCAGAGTCCCATGCTGGAACAGAGACCAAAAAGTGTCACCATGCCCATTCTAATAAATTTGTCCTCAGTACTCTGCAATTTCACTCTACTATAGATCAATTGTATCACTCCGTCCTGTGAAGAAAAAGTGAAAATGTCTTCTTTTATGAGTGTAACTCTCTCATGAATCTTCTTACAAATAAGTGAGGAAGTCTACTAAAGTGTCTAAGCTTGCTAGACTCCAACTGTGTTTTGTTTTTTCTGATTAAAGGCAGAGAGAATTTACTCTAAACTTCACAGAAAGTCTGCTTACTGTAGTTTGTCCTTTAGCCAATAAGAAGTCAGAAAACTATTAAAACATTAAAGGGCTGATCCTGTTCCTTCAAACTCTATGGGAAGTTTGCCAGTGGTTTTGCAAGAATGGAATCCAGCTCCATAAATATATATATATATTTATACACACCTCCTGAAGCGATTAAAAGATGCCCTAGAACACAGAAAAACTTTTTGTAGGGAGCTTGCTGAATCTCGTTGGCTGTTAGGAAGCAGCTCAGTAATAGCTATTTTTATCCTTTCTCATCATATTTTGTCAAATATGCACAGTCAGTGCAGAAACGAGGAGAATCTAAATGTACAAAAAAATATGTTACCAACAGTTAAAGCCTTACTACAATTCTTGGGACATTCAGTGCTTTTTTCACAGCTTCAGCTGTGGGGTTGGAGAAATTGCCAATGAGTTTCAGCTTTAATTTTCAAAAATTGTTTGCAACTTTTTTAGTTGCAGAGAAAAGCCTGAAAACATTAATAAATCTATGTGCTACACAGGCTCAGCAAATAAGACCATTTATATTATAATCATTTTACTGTCTGGTTTACAAATGTCGGACTTTGAGTGGGCAATATGGACAGTCAAGAAGTGATGCCTTCTCGATTTCCAAGAGAAGTGAAACTTGCGGCTGTACGTAACGTAGGATGGCTCGTGCCCTTCCCAGAACTCACGGGTGTCTGGAGCAGCTCAGTGCTACTTCCTTGTGAAAATACAGTAGCATAAAACTGTAGGAAAAAATAACTCCTGGCTCGATCTACAGTCTGCTTTTCTGGGTTGTGAGATTTGCTCTGCCTTTTTAGTCCAGGTACCTGCCTGGTCCTCCACTCTGTTGCTGGCCAGCTCTTCCGGCTGAGATCTTCGTAACAGTCTAAAGCAGACATTTATCCTGTTTCTTTGAGTTTCATGCTGGAACTTGTCTAGCCATATGCTCCTCCAGGCCTGACATCCTCTGGGTAGAGAGCTGTCCTAAAAATCAGAATGATTTTCATTAAAAGACACATATGTGACTTCAGTGTCTGTCCTATGGTATCACTCTTCTTTAGAGCATGTGTTTTGACCTCAGAGTTGTAAAACGAAGTGATCATTTACTAAAAGAGCTCTTTTCCTTCTGGTTCTTTGCATCACTTATTCGCATTATCAAACAGTCAGAAAAAGCAACATGTATAACACTTCAAGGTGGGAAATGTTCATTAGAGGAATGAAAAAAAAAGTGCTATTTCACAGAGAGAACAGATGGACAGACAAAATGAGGATAATTCAGAATTTTCCCCTACTGTTTCACCTAACTGGTGCCAGGTTTCTACTATGTATTCACGGAGGCAGACTGAACAGTGCCCAGAAGACCATCAACAGTAACTTACGACTTTCATTGATCACTAGTGGAACTTCAAAGAGATTAAATCCCCTTCCCAGTGATCTTGGGAAGTGCTGTAATGCTGTAAAATACTCTAACTTAGCAAATATTTTTGTCTCCTAAAGAATTTCTTTATAGCAAGATTCACACCTCTATTCAATTTAGTCAGTGTTCAGTGTAACTGGAGTATTTGGAACCCCAAGATTTTATTTATTTCCTAGCTGAGAAATGGAGAAGTTCCATCAGTCTTACTCAACCTGCTGATCAACATAAATATGCATATTTTGTTTGTATAAATAAAATTTATCCGATCATAGACTGGGGTATTTCCAATGCATCTGTGTTCTGTGTATCTTTACTCCTGTGATCCTTGGTGCAATCTATAATTTATTGTCCCACCTCCTTATATTTCTTTCACAAGACATTACTGCCAAACAACATTGTCCTATATCCTTAATCTCTGCTACCACATGACTTCTGGTCATGCCCATATCTCTGCTTTCTGACTTAACTAGTACGCTGGTACAATTTTCGGAGAGGAATGAAGATTGGGATGGTAAATACAGGCAGGCGTTTCACCAGGCAGATATATACACAGCTTTGTAAAAGGTTATTTCTAGAGTAATTGATAGTGCAGTCCTGGAGGATGCCAGTTTCAGTCCCAGCTGCAGACAGGCGGCAGAGAGCTTCAGCAGCGTTTTCTCTCAGTTTTCTCTCTTTAGTCTTCTCTGTTACAGCATTGAGTAGCAGTTACTGGTGCGAAGGGACAAGGAAAGTTGCCAAACCTTTCTGTACAGGACAGAACAAAGGGGACCACTGCATCCGCTTCAATAGCCCTGACGCCAACAGCAGCAATGCTGTGCAGTATATTTGGGAGACAGGAGATGACAAGTTCGTTGACCGAAAGTTTCATGCTGGGATTTGGTATTCCTGTGAAGAAATTATAAATGAAGCAGGTGAGTAAAACCTATGCAAATTAACTTAAGAAGGTAATCAGTGTTCTTCCTACTTATTTGGTGTGATCTTCCTTTTTTACTGCAATATTGTGTATGCATTTTGAAGGAAAAAGTATCCTTAAAAAGTTGCTCTTCTCTGTGAAGGGGGATCTTAGAGAATACTATCTACTCAATTCCTAAAATATTCCTAATAAACTCTGCAAATAACTTTAGAGTGACAGGGGGTAGTATGAATGAAGATTATTTTTTTATTCTTCTAACCAGAGCATCAAGTTAAGTTACTTTAACAGGAAAGTGGTTTATTTTTCTGAAGTTTTTAGTCCCTTAGGCAAAGATGAACATATTTGCCTTAAATGATAGGTTACGAACCCTATGGCAACATAAAAAGCACAATGTGATTTTTTTTTGTTTTAAAAATCATTTCAGCATTTACTTCTGCAAGGTCTAAGTTATTTCATGGATTTCCTCTTAAGCACAGGTATTTCTATGTTCTTAATGTGTTCTCACCTTTCATAAATCAAAGCAGAAGATGACTATTTTCACCCTGCTAAAACATAATTTGGAGACTTACTAGTCATAAGTGGTGGCATTTAACTGAGTTTCACTCAGTCTATGTAAATGTCAGTAGAATGAAATTAGCTTGCCGTTAAAGAAAGCTTCCAGTTAATTTTGGATCTTTGTATAAGGGAATTGCGTAGCTGGTTCAAGAAATACAGCATATATTGTAAATCCAGATCAACACTAAGTTTTTCCGCTTATTGTCCGGATCAGTTTACAAAGGACAAATAGAACAAAACTTCAGAGAAATCAAATCAGCTGTCATCTGTGCTATAAAATGCAAGTATTTTCTCAGTCACCTGTCCTGAACGTCTAGTTCTACCAGAAGGTGTTGTAAGTTATATAATTTTAAGGGGGTAAATGTCAAAGATCAGAGCAAAATACATCTCCAGAAGACATCTTTCAGGTAGTGATCGCTATGGATACTGGGGTTGTTTAATTTCTGTGTCTGCTCTGGCAGTTCTTGTTTTCCAACTTGGTCCAGTTAGTAGCTGAAAAAAACCCACTCCTTATTTTCAGAGCAGAGCAAAATTAATTCCAAGAGCTTTGTTCACAGCATCTGTGTGGGGGTCAGGAGGTCACACGGGTTTGACAATCAAAGCCTACAGAAAGAAATCGGAATTAAGCTTAGAAGAAATTTGTGTGAGCAGCAGCATTGTTGCTGTAAGGAGAGCAGGTCTTCCTTCACAGGAAAGATGGTATACAGGCTGCCACTCTTTCAAAGCAACTGATCGTTTTCCCCTGCTGGCTTTAACAGCTACAACCTTTTGGAAGCAATTTGTAGCCTTTCTCTAAGTCTCTCAGAGCCTGGTTCTGCCTTGAAAAAGTCTGGAAGGATTCTCTAGCTAAGTCCCAGAAGTAGGTCAAAGTACCAGGGACACTATGTGTAAAAATATAGATCAGAAACAGCTTCTCTTGATCCTCTCAGTTTGTGCTTTTATAATAGATTTTTGCATTTTCTGCTTTCTATTAATCTATTTATTTAGATCATTACAGAATACAAAATAATCCTGAATTCTGTTTTAAAATATTTTTTTTTCTTTCTTTAGGTGAGAAATGTAGAAGCTTCATCAGTCTGACTCCAGCTTCTGATCGAGGTACATACGCATATTTTGTTCGTGTAAATAAAACTTTCCTGATCACATTTACCAACATAGTCTTTATTTTTATTTCAAATATCCTGACTTTAATCCCACACAGTTTTTTGTCCTTTATTTAGTTTTTTACCTTCAAAATTAAGTCCATGTGACTTAAAATATGAATCTATGTCTTTTGAAAACACTCCATTTTGATAGGAAAGCTTTTTAAAATTACTTTGAATATGGGTACTGGAAGTCAAGATTTGTAAGTTTTTACCTTCTCTCTCCTTATACTTCCATATCTGTATAGTCAGGAATTTTGTGGCTTGCACCATGCGGCCTGGAGAGCACAGAGGGATGGGCAATAGGTGAACAAAGGCAGGCAGTATGCTGAGGGGACTTGCTGGAGATGTGTTGTGGGCCAAACTGATCTTGATGGCAGTCTGAATCCCCTTCCTGTACCTTACACAGAGCTGTAAAGAGGCACTTCCACTCTCCTGAAAGCAGAAAGTTGCCCTCTTTCTTTCAAAGGATTGTTCATATTCCTACAAAACATACCTGCAGATGCTGTTAAGTGCCCCCCTCCAATGTAAACCCTATCATTGACGTGGTTAGACCAATCACTTTGCAAGCAGATGATCCAGAAAAAAAAAAGTCTTTCTTCTTCCCCACGGGGTTGAAATTGCAAATCCAGAATACTGGGACTGGAGTACTTTCCTGGATACACAATTTCAGCCTCCTGGGAAAGAAGAAAGACTCAATATCTGAAGGCTAGTGCTCCTTCCCTCTATTGCAGCTTGTCACTGTGCACAAATAATCCAAAATTTTTATAGTATGAGAAAAAAGGAAAAGTGAGACGTGATTCTTGGTCACACAGACGTTGTCCTTAGAAAGGAGGGTGGATTATGGGCCCTGCCCTGAGAGCTCCTCAGTGAAACCACTGGTGGGCATAGTGCTGAAACTAACTCTGCAAACAGCACCGGCAAATGCTACAGGAACCTGCAGGTCAGATCAAGACACCTAAGACAGCAATTAGCTACCTGATAACCACATAGAGAAGCTGTCCCTGGGAAGTGAAATCCCTAGTGGGAACAGATTCCTGCCCCGCACAGGAGAAGAGCGAGTCTGTGTTCTGCCCTTGCATATGGCTGCTGTGTACACAAAACTCAGGACGTATCAGGCTCACTCCTCCTGAATTTATCATCCCTAGGCATCATACACAGGGATTATCACAGTTGTTTGGTGCATATGTAATGATGGCTCATTTATCAAATATGTTAAAATGCAAGCTGTCGTAGCTGGAGCAGCCACTACTATTTGGCAAAGTAACATCTGGAGTTCCTGAATAAAATCAGATTTTTTTCTGAAACAAAGATTTGCTGGAGAAATTAACCTTGCCCAGGAACCCCCACGCATAGCCTGGCCCAAGAATTTCATATCTAAATGGCCTTTGAATCAGAGAACTCACAGACTCTATCAAAGCCTGCAGTAGGGGTCATTTACCGCACAAGCATTGTTTACTGCCATATGTAGTGTTTAGTAACCAATTAGCAATGTTTCTGTCTTTGACTTATGTTAGTTAGGCCTTCACATGAAATCACCATTTGAATCTACAACCAGGTGTCTCAGGACATATTTATTTGTTTTAAATAAGGTTTGGGAAGGTTGTTGGCCGTTCGTGCTACAGTCTGGACACAAGAAGTCCTCCTGCTCCTGACTGGGGGACTTTGGCATGGTAATGGTAAAACAGCAGGCTGAGAAACTTTCATGGGAAGATTAACTTCTTGCATAAGATGTAATTAAAACCTATCCAGAAAGAGAGGGAATTAGCAGACAACCAGAGAAATTAATCTTAGTGAAACTTGGAGAGTGTCTGTGCTCACAAAGACTTCTCTGTCCAAAAAATCAAGATCCTGTTTGGTGCAAAATTAAGCCCATGAGGAAAATTTTATGCAATGACTAGGCCCTTGGGCCATGTGGCTGTGTGCATGGCCTTGCAATTTGTTAGCTGGCTACCGTGGTCTTCTGTTTCGGTACACTTGTCTCTGGACTCAGCAATCGTGATGTCAACAACTAGGTAATTGGTTAGTAATTCTTTTTACATTAACTTTGGTTCGTGCTAATTTTAGGGTAGCTAGTGAGTATAAAACCATACTGCCCTACCTTGTAGTGTAAGCTTCTTAAGTGTGCAGCAGGAACATGGAAGTGCTTTTCCACTAAATGGCCACATCAGTAGAGGGAATTATAATTAAGGTGTCCATTGACCTTGAAGTCTTCCTGTAGATGCTGTAACAACATCCTCACAGCCTTTGAGCTTTTGTTTAATGTCATGTAAACAATATAAATTAAGAACAAAGAAATGGTGAAAATACTAAATGACTGCTTATAATATCAGTGCTATTGATTTGTTTTTTCCAGGGGTTTTATGGCTGTCTATTGTAGCAGAGCTTCTGTACATCATTTTGCTTCTGACTGGAGCCATCCTTATGTCAGTAGAAATGTGCTACTACAGTACAGTCATTGATGGGCTAAAGATCAACGCCTTTTCTGCAGTAGTCACTGTATTAGCAGGTACAGTTAAGGATCTCGATTTATTACAGCTCAATTTATTGCCCTTGTGTTTCATATGTTCAGGATTGTTCAGCATCCAAAGTTACTTATACTTGGTGAAAGCATGTATTTTAGAATGACATCTAATTACAAGTCAAACACCTGGCAGATGGCAAAGAATTAATCTCAAGATTGTCTTACTCTGTCAAAATTTTGGGCTTTGATCCTAATCCTAATGTTGCTGGATTTAGCATTCATGTATTTGTGATTGTTGTGCCTTTCTTCATGAATTAAAGATATTTTATTATACTTTTTCCTCTTACACATAATCATGCAATTGATTTGCCAGTCTCATTTTTATTGGCTAAATAAATGAAGTTTATTGAACATCTGACCATTATTATGGGGAAGAAATAATTTTTCTTCCTTTCTGCAGAAGCCTTTGTGTAGTAGAAGACAACTATCACGAACTATCACGTCTCTTCTTCATCTTCTCCAAAATAAATGATTGAGAAACATGTCATATGACTTCACACGTATATCTAAGACCTCTGATCATTCTTGATGCTCTAGTCTTTCTCTAGTCCAGTTTTTGCAGAATCTTCCTAGAGGGTAGTGCTAAATGTAGACACTAGGCTGAACGTCCAATGGCATTAACAAACACAATTCCTATTCCAGATGTTGACTTCTGAAACACTCTAGTTTGGCTTAACTTTATGGAAGTGTAAAAATTCTAGGGACCCATTGCTCTGCCCTGAGTTAGGCCCAACTCTCCTAAACCTTGCCCAACAGATATTTGTCTAGCCTCATCGTACTAAAAATCCCCAAGCCCAAAAAACCACCACCATCAAAAAAAAACCAAAAAAACACAATGCTCCCTCTTCAGTACTAAAGTCTCTGTCACCTTCCTAGGAAATGTAATCCAGTTCATACCGCTCTAAAAATTTTATTCATGTCTAATCTAAAGCCCTGGCTGCTGTGATTTTTTACAGCATTTCTTTCAGGATACCCACCTACAACAAGAGACCAGATGATCCCCTCCTCTCTGCTGTTAACTTTTACATGTTTGAAGATTGCTATCTCAACTCCCTGTAGTCCAGACAGCAGTCCCCAAACTCTGCTGCCTGTGAACTCTGAGAACCTGCTGGAGTATCTCCTTTCTTCTGAACGACTTTCCTGGAAGGTTTCCAACTAGTTAAAAATCTCTATTATCACCAGTTCTACTAATCGCTCAAAAAAAAATCTCCATTTCTCCTGTATCAACAAACCTCATGATCCACTGTCATGTCTATTTTCAAAGAAAGATTAGTGAGCTTTATTTAACTCTTTAGACAATAACGATAAATATTCACTTTTATTAATATTCTTTTTGGTTTTGGCATGTACATTATTAAGGAGGCCTACACAGCAAGCAGCAAGGTTTTTCTGGACATTCTGTTTACTTCTGCTAGTAAAATTTCTCGAAACATTAAAAAGCTGAATAGCATCTGTCTTAGCTGTTAAACTTTTTGTAGGTATAAATCAAGTCTAGTCGCCCTAAACTGTAATGAAGATGTGATTTTTTTGTACAAATATTCTCTTGATTCTAACAGAAAAACACAGATTAAAATTCAGCTACAGGAAACTGTAGCTGTGTAAAGCTAGCTATATTGCAAATGCACAATTAAAAAAACCCCAAACTGTTACAGTATTTAATCATTTAAAAACCACATTAAAGCTAGTGTTTGATTTCTCACTTCCCTCAGTCCTCACCTCAGACTGAATAAAATCCTAAAATGTATGTTCTAACTTGTGCCAAGCGTGGTGACTTTAAAGAAGAATCACAGAGCGAAATTTTCTGACCGTAGGCACATAGGTTTATAATGTCCCACATGCAGCTCTTGACTCTACAGAAATTATTATTCTGATTTGTGAGTGTTTTCTCTTCAGTGCATGTGCACTACTAGTTCACTCCGCAGCTGTGAAACACACATTGTTGATACCACTGTCCTGTTGCCCTCAGCAGCCTTTGATGCAAATGAATATTGACAGGCTCCCATATATGCCTATGCTTGCCTTCTGTACCTATATTAGTTAAATTTTCACCATTTCTCAGACACCAAAATGCTCTGAAGCCACTGCTGAAATGTTGAGCCTGACTCTGAATTTAATCCCGGTACAGCTAAGAGGAGCACTCCAGCACAGGGTCTCGTGTTCACGCTCCAGTTTGACACATTTCTAGGGAGCCAGACTGGAGGATTCAGGACAGACATTCGTGTGCCTCGGACATGGCTACGACATACCACCTCCCTGGTGAGACATGAGCAACTGACCTCTGTTCTCTAACAGCCACATCAACTTTCATCAGTCAAACAACCTTCTCCAAACACTTTATTAAGGAAGTGCTATGAGGGTGCCAGCTAACTACTGAACTCTGTGTTTCACAGCATGAAGCCTCCCGACTCAGTGCTACACAAAGGGCTCTACTAATTGCCTGTTGATGGTGTTTCAGGCAATAGCAATATTTCAGGGAAGACCATTTCCCAGTGATTACTGAAGCCAGGTCATTGTCAGCCCTATATGTGTCCCAGACTGTGAGATACTGTGTGCTACCTAGCTAGTTTTGTAAGAATTCCTGAAACAGACCTACTTTAGGATCACCTAAGAAATTGGGTCTTGTGAGTTTGGTAGGGGACCGTCTGCTCTGAGAAGCTAGTGTGTGTTAGACAGTGGGACAGTTGATACTGCAAGGGTATTTATGAATTTGTAAATGAAAATGGAAACAAAAAAATAGATGGCCACAGGGAAGGTCACCAGTGGAAGATAAAACGCTAAGGGAAAACAGATACCCTTAGGATTAGGCAGCAGCCTCGTAGCAATTTTGAAAATTAAATTATTAAATATAAGCCCCTTTCATAATCCAGAGTTTCAGTGCTTTTTAATTGACACCAAGTGTTTGCTCACTTTTTCATCCACCTACGTAATGTTGATAAATCTGGCTGCATTTAAGACACTGGGAAAAAGCATATGACTGCATGCCTTTGAAAAACCTTTCCACTGAACGACAGGAAACTGTGGGAAACGTGTCCTGTGCAATGCAACTAAGCAATAGCTTGTCATAATGGCTGATCCCTGCTCAGGGTTGAATTACTAAAAAGTTTTCAGGGGATGAGAGCCAATCAACTTGTTACCTTTTAAAATCTATGGGCTGCATGTCCCATTGCTCCCCTAGGTTCCTCTAGCATATAAAGCAGGTGTCAAAGGACTGTGTTAGTGATTGTATTGGGAAATATATGACACATAAATACACTTAGATTTTAATATCCAGTATTTTTGAGTGATTTATAAAATTCAGGTACTTCATAAAATATTCTTCAGGAGCTCAAGGGACAAGTGGAAAAAGCTGACAAAGAAGAATGTCCTCAATTTACATTTTCTGATGTTCTTATGATATTATATTTTTTAGGTCTTCTGGGCATGGTTGCTCACATGATGTATACAACTGTATTTCAAATGACTGTAAATCTTGGTCCTGAAGACTGGAGACCCCACACATGGGATTATGGCTGGTCTTATTGGTACCTATCAGTTTATATTTGGTTCTTCCATACCTTTCAGTCACTTCACCCTATGTTGAAGGAATGTATACCTAATTTGTAAGGAATGGGTCAACCTCATTTCACTCCTGGGGATGCAGTTCAGTAACCAGCTGTTTTTCTCCAAATTCAGTTGTCTTAGATTATTGCATAGAATGTATAAGCTTGTGAGTTTTGCATTTGTCATCCTGCAGACTGTACAGAACCTCCAATTGCTCTGCATGAAGCAGAGATCCTTCGCCATAAACATCAGACCCAGATTTAGTACTCTCATCTCCCAGGACGACAGCCTTGCATAGGTTGTTTAAAACACTTCCAGCTTTAGCCATTTAGGTTGAATTTTTCCTTATCAGATGTATGTTTCAGGTTGTTGTGTCTGGAATATTTCAGACAAAATGGTTCAAATTTTTGAAAACAGGCTTAGGTTAAAACCACATTATTTTGGCCCTGTAAATAATTGCAACATATCCTCTGATGAGATCTAGTGAATTTTTTAAGAAAGAGGACTGTTCAGAGGATCTTTGCTATAGGGATGTATCTTTGAAAATCCACCGAATTTGATCAATTCAGGTGCTGAAAACTGCTGCTACTTTCCCATCTGTGAATGACATAAAGAACAGGAACAAATGTACTGTTACATCAAAACTCAATCAGGACCAATACTTTGGGTCATTAAACCAAAGCTCAGGCTGATTGTCTTCTTCACATGTGCTCTGACAGCCAAGATGACAGCTCATTGTCACTCATTCTTGTTGCTCTTTCTAATTCTATTGTACCATTTTTGAACAGGAGCTTATTGTTGTATGCAGTCTTTACCATGCAGACTCGCTAGGGATTTTTGCAGTGAAACAGGGGTTTCTTTTTTCTTTTTTTCTGCTACATTTCACCTTCCTAATAACACAAATCTCATTTGAAGGTCACTGCACATCACTCTACATCTTTCTAGGAGTCTGTTTCCCAAGCAGCAGCAGCAGTTTATTGTTACATGTGTGTAAATGAAGATGTTCCTATAGTGCTTTCAGAGCACTGAAGGATGGGCCTGGTCAGTACTCCCATGCTGGTTGTTAGCTACATCATGACAAAAGTTGTATCTTATCCTGTTTGTCCATCAGATGAGGTGGCCCAGCACCTGTATGTCACCCACTTGCTCAAAGTGCAAAGGGTCATCCCCCTTCTGTCAGGAAGAACTGGTCTGAGAAGATCAAATACCAGGTATCCAGACAACACCCTGAACAATGTCCAGCAGCTACTTGGATACCCTCAATGAGTATCATAAGAGCTGTGCGGGATCCTCAAATAGTGCCTCCTTCCCTCTTTTCAGACTTAGATATGTTTTGATTCTTTGACTCTCACTACTTCCATTCATTCATGTTTTTGTTCTTGCAATAATAATTCTTTTCCCTGGTTTGGGGCTCTCATCTCTCTTCTGAGAGGTCTCTCAATTTCTTTCATGAATAGTATTAGGCTTTGTTTTACTCTAAAATCAGTAAGAAGAGTGGTCAGTGGAAAGAGGGGGAGTGTTCCTGCGTTACTTCCCCTGTCCTACTGGGTGGAAACAGAAAACCGCAGACTGGTAATCAGGAGCCTGTTCCTTCCTTTACATCCCACTGGGAGAAGAAAAACACCCAAATCACTGTCACTATTGCTGTTACTGGCACAACTCCATTGATGCCCCTGTCGCCACCATCATCATGTTCATCACAGATGTCATTACTGCTGTCACTACAGCCAGCCTTCTCCTGAGCACTTGGACTAATGACTTTCACTATGTGGCACACACTCAGGAACTGAGGATTTCATGGCTGACCTCTAACAATTCAGTGCAGCCTGGGCCACTGAATGCCCAAAGAAATTTTTCTACCAGCACAAGACTCTATAAGCCATCAGTACCTGCATACAGGAAGACATTGAAGAGGATGGTCTCTGTGGTGCTCCATTTTTCTGTCAAGATTCACTTTCTTCTTTCCTTTTCTCAGCCTATATGACAGCTACATTTCCCTGCTTGACAGTAATCTAAAAATAAAGCAAGCATCCTCCCAGCTGTCTCCCTTGGTTTCTTTCTTCTCATCTCCTTTCATATATAATATTTTCTCTCTTCTGATAACCTACATTTGCACCTCCCTTCCTGTTGTATAAACCCTCGTCTTCATCCTCCTTTTGCTTGTCTCCCACTGACTGCATGTGAGAATCTCATCTGATGGTAAGAGAGGAAAGATGTTCGAAGCTGTTTGTCTTCTACAAGAGAAAAGAGAACAGATGCCAAAAAAAGGGGCAGTAAGGATTATAACTGACAATCCTTTTCTATTTGTCTCAACACCCACTTGTGGCCAACAGTGTCACCAAAACCATGACAAGGGCATGGTCAGGCAGAGGCACAGGCAAAGACTTTGCTACTTTTTCATTGGGACTTACAATAATCTCCTTGGTAACCAAAGAACACAAAGAATTGGGCCTATGACAGCAGCTTTTGATGCCATTCACCAGACCTAGTAGAGCAGCTATTCCTGCAAGAACTACTGAGACTCTGTCAGGAATATTCTACCTGCCACAGTCCTCCCTCTGTCCTCACATCCAGCTGCTGTGTCCAGGGTTTTTCTTCCACCTGGACCAGGAAGCATGAAGACCTTTCTTCTTCCTTTACAGTGCTGGAATTGCTAATAATGGGTAGACTCACTCTGTGGTATCCCTGAACTTCTCTTCAATAAATCCATCCGTATTTCTCTTTTATTTTCAGCAGCAGCTTTCCTAGTGTTTGAAAGATGTTTCTGTTATTGATGAATCTCTCATTGTCTTTTTGTTTGTCAGACTGAGGCATCCTCACATCAAGAGACATTTTCTCTCTAAAGATCTGCCCTGTACTAAATTCTCATAACACACCACATACGGGATACTCCGCACAGTAAAAGTAAAATCTGTAATCCCACTGAGCTTCTATCGGCATTTCTCTTATGCGGGTGAATGACTAGTTGCTTTAGTTTGCATCCTTGTTGAGTTGACCTGTTAGATTTTCCTTTTTGTCATTTGCGTCAGGGCAGAATTCAAACTGAAAGCTGAATTTCCACTGCAGCCAAACTGCTTTTTGTTTTCTGGCTCTCTCAGTGACAAGACTGTGTTCATTTCCTTCCTCAGTTCTCTCTAGTCAGATGGGGGAACTCCTCATTTTTTCCAAATTGTTTAAGGAAAAGAAAAATTTCTGGCGAAAACTTTGAAGAATCACGCTGATATATTTCCTGTATTGTCAAAGGAAACCATTTATTTTTGTCCTTTGTTTTTTTTCTTTTTTAACACAGTATTGGTCTATAAGAGAATCTGCTCATAAGAGATTAATTTCTTTCAGTCTTTGCTAAGAGGTCTCTATAGAAGCTTTCTTGAAATTAGTTTCTTACCCTTATGTCACTGAGTCCTTCAAAGAGCTTCAACAGATTGGATAAGGAAAAGCACCTTCTTCAAAAGCAGTGCTTCATAATATCCATTCTATCAATTTTTCTACTAATGCTACCGTACTTCAGTTATTCAGCCAAAAATGCCTACTACGTGAGTCAGGACTACTGCAGCCCTGCCAATTTTATCTCATTCCAGAGGCTGAATCTTCAATTCTTCTCTACCATGGCTGGCTTAATCCACTGGTTACATACCACCATAGGTAGGCTCGCTGTCTTGTTCTTGTTTCCTTCGCAGGGTGAGGAAAATCTATATGCTTCTGGCGATTATTCCCTATTCTTGCTACATCTTTGTTATAAGAGCTTTTCTGTGGCTCCCCACATTTGAGAGTTAGTCAGGGTGTAGTTTGGCTGACTTTAGAAGCAAAGATAGCTTAAGTTGCTCCAATCTTCCAGCTTCTAGGAGCCCTTCACATCTACCTGCCACACCATCACCCTCAAATTCTGTCAACACATCTGGTTGTCTGATCACCCTGGAAACCAATTCTGGCTAAAAATTACACTTAAAAAAAAAAAAAAAAAGAGGAGTTATTTAAAAAGCTAAATGAGCTTGTTGAACTACAGCAAGGATGTGGGAACAGAAAGCTCTTAGGGAGATGAGGGATAAGCAGGAATTTCTTGAACTGATTTCTCCACCAAAGCATTTGTTTCATTAGATAATTGTGACCTTGCCATGTTTAGAAAGGCTCTGATGAGCAAACTCCTCCACTGTGAACTCCAATTCATTCCACTGTGGCCCTGTTTTTACATGGTACTGTTACAGCTCCAACATGCAGTGCCCACTCAGTAGTCTGGAAGTTTCCCACATTTTTAGCAAATCGTACCTCAACATCATTTCATAGTTCTGTCTTCTTATGGTTTTACTTTTAACATTTCAGAGTTGATGTCCTTTTCTTTCTGTTTAGTCATGACTTGTACTTTCTCAGGACTGTGTTTCAGTGCTCTGAGCCTGCTTTAGTCAGCTATTTAATTGTGCCTTGTCTTTTCTTTTTAACCCTTTTGGATAACTGGCATATGTTTTTTCTCAGTGTCACCTGTGACATTTGTGGTCTCAAGAACTGCACCTTTTAATTTTTTATGCATCTTCACTCTTTTGTAGTTCCTCTTTCTGATATTAAGCTCTAAGCAGAGTAAACAGAGAAAATGGAGGCACAGTTTCATTAAACAGGAATGTTAAATGTGAATGTTGTAACCAATATGTAGAGGTCAACTACGTATGTAAGTTAGGTATGCGGACAGTCATTAACCAAGAATTTTTCTTCCTCCCCTACCATGCTCCTCTTTCCATAATATACACCAATACAATCACATGTATGCAATATTATCAAAAATAAAACTGAAGGACTTGGATATGAAAATGTTCTGCTAATTTTTGATAAACTTTTTTGTTTATAGCCTCGCATGGGCTTCCTTCGCTTGCTGTATGGCTGCAGCTGTCACCACTATTAACAAATATACAAAAACAATTTTGGAATTCAAGCACAAAAGAAAAATGCTGGAAAGGAGTTTAAAGATTAAATACAAGTTTCCTGATCATACAACTCCAGAGAAAACTTGCAATGTGTATGTGAACTCTTTTCACAACCGTACAGAGGACCCTGCACACCCAATAAAAGGCTTGTGTCACCTGGCCACTATTTCAGTTCTGTAAATATGAACTGTATCTCAAGGCATCCTGTAAATCATAATACTAGATCAGAATGAAACAGTATTAATTAATAAAAATGTATATTTGTGAAGCATTAGTTATTTTTCTTAATAAAGAAATATTTCCATGGATGTTTCAAGGAAGACTTAGTATTGCAAAAGTAGATTCAGGTGTCTCAGTTCAGAAAAACACAGTGACACAGGTCTCCTGCTGATTTTTAAGCAGTCTATAATGCTAATCTAAACTATGTGAGTTTGTTAGAATTTCAGAGCATCATGGATTTCTACTTTAATTCTTTATTGAAAAGACTGTAAAAAATCCCATACCAAAATGAAAACCCACAAAGAGTGGGGTAGCAAATAAGGCAGCCCACATACGGTGCATAACCTGAATAATTTGTTATTAAAGGTACAATCTTCCCAGGAAAATCTGTGTATTACAACTTACGATTCAAGAGTTTCACCATATACGTAGTAGTAGGATTTGATGTGAAAGAAAGAATATTGCTCCTTTAAAATGTCTGTGAAGGAAAACAGAAATCTGGAAGATACATGGTTGTAGACAGCACATAACTCACCTGTGAAATTCTGTAGGTATCATTCTAACAGTGTTAGAAAGAATCAAAATTTGATTTGTGATTATTATAAACGAAGAATAATTCACAATCACATTCAAGATGGGAAAGTAGAAATTATTATGATCCTCATAGATCAAGAATACACAGCTGCTCCACTGTGAGGATCAGCATGGAGCTTCCCCATGAAACTGCCTCCTGTGTGCCTGCTCTGTTGGACATCAGTTCTTCTCCATTGTTGTATGATGCCTTCTGCTAATGAGCCTGCTAGGAAACCCACTTGTGAATGCTGGATTGCAGAGGCCTTACACAGTATAGCAAGAAGCTCTGGGCTTTAGAAAAATCACTATACATTTTTTTCAGGCAAAACAATCCTAACACAAATATAGTCTGAAATTGTTGTGCCAGCAGGATCCATAGTAGGTCAGTTTATGGCCAGTGGTAAGGTGAGATAACAAAGGAAGATATAAGATAGTCTCCTCAGAAAGGACCTGGTGAGTGGTGGGAAGCCCACCGAGGGGTGGCAGGCACCTCTGCCCAGAGTCCATCTGCCAAGTAACTGACTCTTGGGAGTGCTGTGACCTCAGGACAGGCAGTTTCTCGGCAGGAGGCAGGCAAGCACCTCAGACACACTTTGGACTGTTGCTGGCTGCTGGTGCTTGCAGTTTGTGCAACAGTTCTGGGCTCTGCTTCTAGTTCTTCCAAGAGCAGGTTCAAGGCTCCTCGGATCCAGGTTGCAGGTGACTCTCAGTCAGGGAGTCTCAAGCACTCATGCCAACAGTGCTAGGGAGAGACCTATGTGATGCTGGACTGCAAGCTTGGAGCCCAGAGCATCACTCTTCAAAGCAGCAGTAACTCTGCTGAAGGCAGTGTGTGAGCACTCAGCACTGGTGGTGACACGTCAGTGGGCATTGCCCCAGCACCAACTGAAGCAACTGTCCCAGGCACAGCAGAGGTCTTGGTCCAGGCTGGGCTTCCGAGGAAGGATGCAGCTCTCTGGGTCTGGGGCTGCAGGGAGTGCTTGAGGCCACTTGCTGAAGCTGGAGCGGTGAAGGCAGCATCCATACCTGTACAAGGTGTGCTGTGACTGAGAAGTTCTACTGAAGTTAAAGAGTTGTGAAAAGAGGTGAGAAGGCTGCATAGCACAAGGGATGATGAAAAAGAGATTGACAAGATCTTCACAGAGATGCTGTAAAGATGAGAGCCTGAACCCCTATAATGCACAGAAGAAAGAGCAGCCAGAGGCTGTGTTCACTGGAGACTCCCAAGACCAGCGAGCACAGTAATACTGGATGTTGTGGCTTAGGGCAAGAGGAGGATGACTTTTTCTCCATTGGCAAATCCTTACCTGCGGAATAGTTTTGGTCTTTGGCAGCAAGAAAGAGGGTGTGAGTTCTGCTTGGGGAGCATCAGAGCCAGCTGAGCCTGAAACATGCAACAGTACCAGGGGAGCGTGGCAACTGACGGTAGTGGGAGACCACCTGTGTCCTTCAGGGGTTGGAGGCCATTGTCTGGTGACCTGACTTGCTATCCAGGAATGTTTGCTGTTTGCTGGGGGCTTAGATCTAAGGTGTTTCAGGGAGAATGCTGAAGCCTGTCCAGCCCTCAGACTGATTTCTTGCTGATTATCCATGCATACACCAGTCATACTATTGGGGAGACCCTGAGCATGTCAAGAGTGACTATATGACTCGGGAGGGGGTGTGAAGGTGTAGGACATGAGGGTCCAGATGGCATTCTCATTGATCCTGCAAGGACAAGGCTAGGGAGCAGGGCGTGGATCCTGTGGGTCAACACTTGCTTGTGCACAGCCGGGCCGGGGGCAGGGGTTTGGCTTTGACAACTGTAGGTCTCTCTAAGTGGATGAGGAACTTCTGGGGAGAAATGGGGTCCACTTGGGAAAGCTGGACAGAAACATCTTTGTGATCAAGCTGGCCAACCTGTTGAGAAATACTTTAAACTGGGAATAATGGAGAAGGGATATTTTGTCATGAGGTAGAAGTTAATGGTAGTGGAAAGCAAAAGGTGCAAGATGACAGCAAAAAATGAGACCTCAGGAACGACAAACCAGGGTAAAGAAAAACCCACCTCAAGTGTATGTACACAAACGCAAACTGCCTGGGAAAGAATTGGAAGGAACTAGACCTCCACATGCAGTTGAAAAGATGCAATATCTTTAGAATAAGAGATGTGGTGGCACAATTGGGCTGCTGTGATTGCTGAAGACTAATTCTGTGGAGAAGGACTTGGGAATCTTGTTGAACTGAGACCACAGCAAGCTGAAAATGTGCCTGCAGAAAGAAAGCCAACAGCTTTTTGGGCTGTATTAATAGGAACACACCCAGTAGATCCTGGGAAGTGGTTATTCATCACCACTCAGCATTCATTAGATGACATTTAGAATACTGTGTCCAGTTTGGGGCTCCACAACACAGGAAACACAGGAACAAAGTGGATTAAGTTCAGCAGATGACCACCTAGATGGTGAGGGGGCTGGAGCATGTGTGACACAAGAAGAGGCTGAAGCTTCTTCTGCCTGCAGCAAAGACTTCAGAGGGACCTGAAGCCATCCAATATCTACAATGCCTAGAAGTCTTCCAGTTTCTATGAAAAGGTTATTTATTACATGGAGCCAGGCTTTTCAGACTGGTGCATGGTAGGAGAATTGAACTGGACAGAAGGAGAAGGTTTCCCATCGTGAGGACAGTCAAGCAGTGAAATGGGCTGCCCAGAAGAAGCTGTGTAGTCTTCCTACTTGCAGGTTTTCAAGACCTGACTAGGTAAAGCCCTGAGCATCCTGGGCTTACCTTATAGCTGACAGGAGGATAGACTAAAGACCTCCTGAGCCAAAGACCTCCTGAACCAAAGAACTCCCACCTGACTTCTCTTACAACCCTTCTCTTGCTGCATCCCAAAAATTGAATTTAATATTTGGAATCTCTTATTTCAGAAACTAGTTTTTCTCTTCTCTATGTCACTGATTGCTTCTTTCTGTATACTTCAAATACTAAATGAACCTTTATTTTCAAGGTTCAAGTTTTGCCCCTCTACCCAATAGTAAAAATTCCTTTTCATCAGCCTATATTTTCTTACAATCAACTATTGGCTTCTGTCCTATAACAGCATCTGACTGTGTACGATTTAAAATTAGCACTGTAATTTCTTCATGTTTTTCACTTCCCATGGAGATAAGTTATATGCAGTCCTCCAGCTTTAAAAATGATTAATTTATGGTCATTTTGCACTATCACTTCATTCACACGAACTCTAGAATGAATAATTGCCATAGTATTCTCCTTATTAATTTAGCATTTAACCTATTCCAAGCTTCTAAACATTCATGAACACCTTAAAAACAAACAAACAAACAAATGTAAAGTGGCATCTCTGAATATTGACTGGGGTAGACTGTGTCCTGCCAGCTGACACCTTATTGTATAGAGCACTGTGGGACTTGCTAAAGGATGTCAGTTAGGTATTTATACCCAAAGTCATCTCCTGGCACCTTCAGCAGGGTTTGTTTGATTATATGTTTTACTCTTCCTAACTTTTCTGCAGTTTCATTAATTTTCAGCATTTTCAACTTTAAATATTCATCCAAATATTCCCATCCAGCAGGAAAACAGACAGAACCACATTTTCTGGCTGGTGGAATATCAAAATATTCTTGTTTGGAGACAAACTGTAAGAGTCATCTCTACCTACAGACTCACACAAAATTACAGAATAATTTAAGAAGGTACCTCTGGAGGTTTCTGGTCCAACCTCTCCTCTCAAAGCCAGATCAATTAGATGATGCTGTTCAGAGCCCTAAGAAGTTGAGTTCTGAATATAATCAAGAAGTGAGAATTCCTGACCTGATTGACAATCTGTCCCAATGCTTGACTACTTTAATTATGGAAAAAATAGCTCCTAATATCTAATCAAAATTCCATATATTCCGATTTGTGTCTATTACCTTTTTTTCTTCCATTGTGCGCATCTGAGAAGAATCTGGCTCCATCCTCTCTACACCAACCCACTAGGTAGCTGTAGACAGTGATGAGATTTCCCCTTTCATCTTTAGAAAAGTCTGTCTTTATTGATTACAGCATACCCAGTATTCTGAATCTGCCACCTTTAGTTCTGCAGATGAAAAAAGTAGTTGCTACAGAGTTTGATATCCACTCTAGTAGCAGTAGTGTCAGTCCCTTGACCAGAACACACCTTCCACTTGTTTCACGTATTTCTTTGTGACAGAGATGTTTCTAACAACTTCACTGTTGGAGGAATTATTCCTGGTTCCATCTGACTTTCTGCTTTTCTTTCTGTATAATAACTGTTGTCTCCTTACAATAGATTTTTACCCCTTTCATGTTGCTCCTGGGTATCACTGATGAATTTCCACCTCATCCATGAAGACACTTGGTTGGTGCCTACAAGATCTTTA